TTTGTCTTAAGAAAAAACTTTCGAATTAACGCCTTCTGTACTTTAAAAGCAAAGTACTCGCGGTGGTTAGTTGACTATTAAAATTTTTGTACAGGTGCTTTTACAACAAATTCTTAGTGTTATTTTTTACATAATACTTTTTATTACACCTATACTCCGATTTTTCATTCCGTAGAATTCTGAGATCTGACATTTTATAAGTGTTGCTACATAAAAAGTTCTCCACCGAAAAAGGAACAAATTTGACCTATTTGAGCGCAATAAAAAAAATCCTTCGTATATTTTACCTACAAAAAGGTATTTACTTACTCAATTGACCTAATTTAAAAATAACAAATATCACGAACAATATATCGAATTAACTTTAATTACATACTTTATTTTATTCTTTAACTAGCATCACTGCCTACTAATTCCAGGTTTAGTAAACATTTGTAATAAAATAAAATGTTATCTTACCTGTGCGTTTCTTACTGTTTGTGATGAAAAGGGACGTAATTATCACTCGCCGTTAAACGACTTCTAATGTGGAGCACCGCACTTAATAAAATATATACATAGTATTGTCTTTGATTAACATAACCTTTACACATTTAAAGAAAAAAACTTTTTACCGGATTAAAGTTATGTATTATTATAAATTTACAATTATTTAACATAAGGTCACGGTGACCACGCACGCTGTAAAGCATGCGAAAGGTCGGATAAATTTAAAATTATGTTAAATAATTTTAAATTTATAATAATACATAACTTTAATCCGGTAAAAAGTTTTTTCTTTAAAAAATATATACATTCACTAACAAAAAAAAAGGTATGTATAGACTCAGATGTTTAGACTCGTATTGAAAAATGTGCCTGGCAAAAAAAGGTTTGCCATCTCTGACATGTCAAAAAATTATAGCTGTTAGAATTCTACGGAATTAAAAATCGGAGTAGTAAACTAGTGAGTATACTGTATAGTGAATTACATATTTGAAAATTTACTCCAAACCCTGTAATTTTTTAATACTGATAAAGTCCTTGGCGTCAATATAGTTATAATGTAAATTTGGTACCCTTTTCACACCTTACTTACAACAGAATTTTATCTCGAGCCAAAATAATGGCTTCATCCAGTGTTCATAGAAGATTATGTAAAAACGGTGTCGGAGTTCAAAATATAGTCTTTTACGAATAAGGAAATTATAGGGAACGCAAGGGAGCTTAGCGTTTATTGTTTGTTGTGTCATGTTTACTGCGATGTATGAGAAGATTTAACTTTTTTTCTAGAAATAGCTAATAGCAGATATTCGTCTACCTACTATTATAATAATGTTTACGTTTTGTGGATACTAGGGCTCTAATATAATATTTTTCATGTTACAATTATTAGTTATTAGTTTATTACCAAAGATAATTAAAATAAATATACATTATAAAAAAAATTTTCTTGATAAACCTATTGCTTCAGTTAACAATAATATACATCCTGCTGCTGGTGGCTTCAACTAGCTGGTGCCTGCGACTTCATCTTCGTAAAATTGGCAACTTGTTTAAACAATTAAAACAGACACACTTTCGACTTCTTAAGATTTATCTCAAAGTTCCAGACTCATGATCAGATGTGATAATAGTAGTAGTATGATTATGAAACAATTGAATGTTCATATTTTTTATAATATCCAGGAAGAAAATAAAATAATATATTATTTTTTTATTCTTAAAAGTATAAATTCAAAATTTGGAGTTGTACTCAGGAGCTGGCCATTCCCGAGCATCGGACGGCTTCATTTCGTGGGAGTTTTAAATATAGCGCGACGAAGTGCTGGAATAATGTCCCTCCTCCGCTGAAGTGTCTTCAATTAAAGTCGACTTTTAGTCGCGCTTATAAGACACTTCTACTTATTCAACAAAAGTCCCACGAAATTTAGTTTTTATCCACCCATAAAACAAACAAATATCTACTTATTTACAATTATTCTTATTTTTAACTTTTAATTTTATTTTATTTATTATACACCGTTACACACGATTTACTCACACTTCTAACTTTAATATTATTATTAATATTTTTCTACTTGGTATTATAATTATTTATTTTATTAGAGGCGCAAACTAGCTGCTGTGGTCTCTGGCAGAATGACCAGCGCTGTGGAACTTTTTGCTCCTCAGCATAATGCTGAGCCAGGGCCAATTACAACAACAGTACACACACATTGCATACTGGAAGCGAACCAAATGGCAAAAGAATATTTCTTAATTTTAATTTTTATTGTTTTTGATGTCTTATTTTATTTTATGTTTTCTTTAAGTATTGTTATTTTGTGTGTTTATGTGTGTGTGTTTTCGTTTGTAATAAATGTTATGTCTATGTCTATGTCTAAAACTGCTTTTGTGATAAATATTCACATTTACTTTGACTATTTACTATGAAATTTCTAAATCTCATAATATAATATATCCAGAAAGACCTTAATTATACTTTTGAATAGAAGTATAATAATTAAAAATTAATAAAAAGAATTAATCCCTGTGGCAGTGTACCTTTAACATTGGCATTTCCTCGCTATATTGCAATTAACTTATTTTTTGTAAACTAAATTAAATTTTGGTTTTCCTTAAAATTAAAATTTCACATCTGTGTTTCTAATTATCTCCAAGACTTGAGACTAATGTGGACTCTAATTATCTCATCAAGGTAAAAAGAGAATATGACTTTAGTGAAAGCTGGTTCAGCACTTGCACATACACCTGCAATATATTGCAGTAGCAATATATTTCTGCCAGAGACATGAAGAGTAGAGAATGCAAAATTACTGCAGTTTTTTAATATATTATTGGTATTATGATTACTAACTTTAGGACAACCCGGACTTCATAACCTGGTGTTGACAGAAGTCCAAAATCGTGTTCATTTTGATTTTTTATACTGTAGATCTTGAATTATATACTTTTCAAAAAAAATTCACCGTGCCTCTAACTTTTTCATTGAGGAGTTTTATTTTTTTGAAACATTTAATTTTAGACTATCATATTTGACCTAAAAATTAAATATAAATTATTAAACTAAGTAAGTACAGTTATACCAAAAGAGATTTATGCATTAGACGGGTAGTTTAGTTTACTTAAAGGGCTGAATGTTTTAATTGTTGATTAGTGTTATAAGTAGACCGGCAGGTACATACTGTACATTTTTTTTAAACTGATTTAAACCGTAAACAAATCTTGGCGTGAAGGAAAATTAAGATTTAATCAATAACCAAACTTTTCGATACATTATGATTAAGAAACTTGAACACAACAGTAATCTCATAGATTCAATAAAAAATAATATAAATTTTAAATTTTTGCAATGAATAAAGATACAGATTAGGGATGTGAAAAAATAATCGATTATTAAAAAAATCGATTTTTTTAAAAGTAAAAATCGATTTTTTTTCGCGATTTTTATATTTAAAATAATCGATTAACAATCGATTATTTTATAATTGAAAATCAATCATAGTCGATTTTTTATCTGCCACCTCCCGACATTATGTCTGGTCTTTTATAACCCAGACCTCGAACTATTAGGGATATTCGATATACAACGATGTTTACAATGCGATACATTGAATCAGATTTTTTGAAGATGTATTGATATATTCGATGCATTGATGTTTTTTTGTAAAATATCGAAAGGAGGATAAAACCAGTTCATTTTAAAAAATCTCAAGTTTGAATGGAACACTATAATTTAAAAGTAAAATAAATTTATTCAGCAGCACAAGACTACATACAATTAAAAAGACAAAATTATCAAATTTCTCCTAAAATCTATCAAAACAAGATTAAGTTAATTTCGATTTTGATTATTATACGTTAATTTGTGTTTATAATTTCTATTGTTTATTTTTAATTAAAAAAACTATGAAAAATAAAATATTCAGGGTGTTTATTTTGAAATTAATTCAAAAATTAGAAAAAATCGATTAATAAAAAATCGATTTTTTTTTAATGCAGAATGTCACATCCCTAATACAGATTACAGATTCAAAATAAAATACTAGTTTGAACTTTGACATTTCAATATTCTATTACCGTTGAAACATAGTAAGGATGCAATCAAAGAGCTGTTGAGTGGAGAATGATGTGTGATTCTATGAGAGATAACTTTTTTTCTAATATTATTGTTTAGTAACTATAATTATAGTTACTAGATTTATACTGATGTTTCTTATATAATATTTTTGGGTACAGAACAATAGTACATACATAATTAATAATAACCTTTTAAAGGTTACCTGTTAATAAAATATTGAATAAAAATTTTCTTTATTGTATACCAATTACCAATCTCGTCCAGGTTTTAGTCTTTCCAGCCATTTCCATGATTTCATCGGCCAATCTTTTAAATTGCCTACCTCTGTTTCTTTTATGGCCTCTTGGTTGTCATAGTGTTACAATTTTGCTCCATTATATAATTTTTGCTGTGCGTTCGGCTCGCACTGTCCAGCGTCAACAAGCGCCCATTCCTGGGTTACTCTCGCTGCTAATGAGTTTCTGGACTCCTTACCGGAGAGCGACCTATTTGGGAAGCGTATGGGGGTAGTATACTGTGATTTGACAGTATACTTGGAGGGGATAAGAGGATAGCATTTACTGTCAATTTTGTAAATAACTTAATTGTATTTAGTTGTGTGTTGTTGCATGGGCTGTAAGTAAATAAATAAATTAATTAATTTTTGTGAACCTAATTCACTAAAATACGTTTTTTTTTCTTGCGTCATATGCAACGGAGTCAGAAAGAGACAAAAATACATTATACACTACGTACCATAAGAACCGATATAAAATTTATATAATGTTCAATTATTATCAGTGATACAAAGACTATAGAGTTTAATGCTTACAGTGATACGTCACAAAACAAGACGTCAAACATGTGTACCTAATTTATAAAAATGGTGTCCGTTTACCAGCTGGCAGTAAACTTTTAATAAAAAAAGTTGTTCTTCGGTTAAAGTATATTTTGTGTTATGGCGTCTGTATTAGATTTAATTAAACACTGTCAACATGCGATTGAAAAATATTGCAATGATGAACAGAAAGTAAGTAAAAAACAATTGAACAAGACCCGTGGGTCTCGGTTTGATTATTTCGTAACTTTGCAATCTTTACATTTTTTTGCATAACTAAAACTTAAACGACAACCCGTTATACGTTTTATGATAATGATACCCGGAATGATTTCTTTAAAAAACGCAATGCCATGAATTATTTATTCGGCTGTTATGATTGAGGAGCCTAAAAAGTATTTCGTTAGTTTTCGTACCTCTTGTTGATATTAGATTATAGATCCTAACTGCGCAATATATTGAATATATCATGTTCACATTTAAAAATAAATCTGTTGTTTTTGAGAGCATATGTTGGTCCTTCAGCCACAATGGTTACGAAGTCATTAAATCCCATATGCACTTTTATATCCTATGCTTTGTCATGTTTTACCTGTAATTGGTAACAAATCAGGAGTATATTTGTTTATAGAATGTATAAATTTTCAGTATCGTAAGAGTGCCTATTTACTGTTGCAGATTTTAAAGTGCATAGATAAGTTGTTTCACCTTAATGTGACAGTGCAGCACCTTCAGGAAACTGGTGTAGGCCGAACTGTTAATGCTCTTCGTAAAGAACCTGGAGATGTTGGCCAGGCTGCCAGAGCACTTGTGTACAAATGGAAGCTAATGGTTGCTTCTGAAGAGAGTGACCAGGAAACAGATAATAATGAAAGTGAGCTTCAAAAATCCTAATGTTCATGTTAAAAATTAACTCTTAGTCGTAATATTTAATAAATCATTGCATGCTTGTTTGTTTTATGTTTTGTCCTCTATTTATAGTATATGTAGATTTTCATAATCATTAATTTGTATGTGTTAAAAATATTATGTTTAGTATTTGAGACTCATATATTGATTTTTTAAAATTTGGTATTTACAGCTATATATTTTAAGCAAGTATATCATGTAACAGATCTTTTACAATGTATACAATTAAAATTTAATATTAATTTTTTTATTCAACTAGCATCAAAATACAATGGTCACGATGATGGAAATTCAAATGGCAACCATAGATCAAAATACAAACAAGAAAAATATGAAACTGAGTCAAAACAAGAGGATAAATCACATAGACACATGAATGGTGACCACAATCGTAATAAGAGAAAATATCATAGTAGTGAGGTTAGTATTACCAAATTTTTGTATATTGTATAAAATTGTGATAAATACATTATTTGTATATATTTAATTTCAGGAAGATGAACCAGATGGTAAAAAGTCCAAACATAGTCAAAACAAAGAAAATAGTTATAAAATTAAAACAGAGCCTAAGTCCGATAAATCTGAAAGTGAAAGTGAAGAATCCTCTGACTCTGGCAGTGACAGTGACACATCAAATTCAACAGATAATGAAAAAGTTGAATATAAAAAAATCAAACAAGAAAAAATAGACCAATATAAATCTCCACCAAGTAAACATTCTAGCAGCCATAGTCATAGAAATAAAAGTTCATCAGGGTCTGACAAGGAAAAGTTGTTGGAAAAACATTCTAAATATAGTTCTGAAAGTTCTAAACACTCTTCATCAAAGGATAGATCTCAAAGCTCACATAGACACAGTTCAAAAGAAACAAAAGAAAGGGACCAAAATAAAGAAAAAAAGGAAAAGTTGTCCGAGAAAGATCGACTACAGAAGGAAACACCCTCAGATAAAGAAAAACCTAAAGAATCATCAAGCAAACACAGCAAATCTAATAACCATAAGGATGAAAAAGAAAAGTCAAGTAAAAGTAAGTTGCATGACAAAGAGAGGATATCTGAAAAAGAGAAAAGACCAGATAAAGAAAAGAAACATTCTGAATCCTCAAAACATAGCCCAGACAAACATAAATCAAGTGAAGAAAAGAGGGAAAAATCTACAAGTAAATCAGATAAACATTCTGAAAAGGACAAGCATAGATCTAGTAAGGAAAAGAATAAATCGGAAAATGAATCAAAAGAAAAAAGTAAAGACAGACATCAAGAAAAATCAAAAGATAAATCTAGTTCCTCTAAAGATAGAGAGCATAAGGATAAGAAATCATCATCAAGTGATGTAACTAAAGATAGGAAGAAATCTAAAAGTGATAAAAGTGACAGCAGTCGAAGTGACAGTAGTCGAAAAGATAAACATAAGTCTAGTAGTAAAAATAATGATATACCAAAGAAAAAAACTGATGAGAGTAATGGTGATAGTGACGGCATTGGCTGTGAATCAGGTATGAAATTAATCTTTAATATTTATCAGATTTACTACAATTATTACTTTTGATTTGAAACATAAAAATGTGCTTATGATATTACCTCTTATATATAAGTTTCTCGTGTCACAATGTTAGTTACCATACTCCTCTGAAATGGCTTGACCGAATTTTATCAAATTTTATATGCATGTTCAGTAAGTCTGAGAATCGGCTACTATCTATTTTTCATACTCCTAAGTGATAAGGTTTGTCCACCCTTAACATTTTACTTTTTTAGAATTTTTTTTGTTTTTATTTTCTTATAATACAATATACAAAAATATGTACAACCACTAATTTTCATCCCTCTATGATCAATCCCTATTTTTTATTACAAAAGATAGTTATTTTTATTGAACTAAAAAAAAGTTTCCTAGAAATAATATACATGGCAAGACAACGTCTGCCGGGTCAGCTAGTATATGTATACAATAATTGTATGTGCCAAAGTTAGTGCTGCCTGGGCTGCTATTTCTATGAAAGTGGTATTATCTAAGATCAATTGACTATGTCAAAATAAAGTGAGATACAGTAAAATCTCTTTATTCGCGGGGTATATGTTCCATAAATATGCCGCGAATACAGAAACCGTGACTACAGAATGGTAGTTTATATACGTTCCTAGTTGCCAAAATAAAAAAAACCACTAATATATAAGAAAATCAATTTTATTGATGTTATTGAATATTTTGATTATGTAATCATTCATCTTGCGATTCAAGCAATTCCTGAATGTCACTTGATTCTATCTGTTCGAACCCATCTTGTCCTATTCCATTTGCAATTTCGGCTATGTTTGCACTCAAAGTTTGAACTTGCACGGATACTTCGTCATTTTCCGCTGTCAGAGCAGGCTATAGTTTTTTCCAGCATGACTTCAATGTGTGTGGTTTCAGTTCTTCCAATGATTCCTTTATGATTACGATGCATTTTGCTATGTCAAATTTCTTCCAGCATTCCATAACATTCATATCAGGATTACACTCCATATTATCTATATGATATTGCGTTAAACACCTATATAGGTATTGGAATTTTGTATGAAATTTTAGATCCGCGAATAAAGAAATTTTTTGCCGCGAATAAAGAAATTGGGTTGCATTTTTTTAATCCGCGAATGACGGAAGCGCGAATAGGGAGCTTTTACTGTAATTCAATCTAAATGGGAAATTATTGGTTACAAGAAAGATTAAAGTAGGTAGATAAAATATAGATCATTTAGTAAGTCCTGGCAATGTTACAAAGTTTCAATATTTAAATACTATACAAATATTAAGGCTGCATACCAAAGGTGTCTCAAGTCAACTTGAACACTGTCACAAACTTAAAATTGAAAAAATGGATTGACAGATTTAAGTTCAAGTGACGTTTTAAAATACGGTTTTATTATAAACAATATTTAATCCCCCAAAAATGTCTATCTAATGTGTGATTTTTTGTAAATAAAAAGCAATTATTTTTATAATAATATGTTTGCAGGTGCCAGTTTCGCTGAGGCCCTTGGCATGGTGAGTCCAGTGAAATCCAAAAAGAAACAAATCAAAGAAACAAACTCACCTAGTTCCTTTAATGGTGATGTAAGTAATTGTGTTTGTACACATGTTAATTGAGCTATGCAGTTAATGTTCTGATTTGGTGTTATTATTGTGGTATTTATATTTTTTGCCTTGCTCTTTTTAATAGTATGTTTGTGTAATGTCTAAAATTTAAGTAGCTAATAGGTTCTTGTTCTACTTATTATACTTATGCAAATCATTCTTCGATAAATGGAAATCAAACAATATTGGCATTTTCTATTAGCTATATCAAATATTTTGATTTTAATGTCATGTGTGCAATAATGTTTAAAATTATTAAATTAGTTAATGCGTCCTGTTCATTTACCGTCATCATGGTGTGTCACAGGACTGGTACGACGCCATCTTGTCTGTTAAAGCAGTTTAGCGGGTTCTTAAAATTATGAACATTTAATTTGAATTTCCGTAGGTTCCTATAATAATCTTCATATGTATAAATTACGTGTCACGTTGTTTGTCCGCTATGGACTCCTAAACTACCGAACCGATTTCATTCAAATTTGCACACCGTGTGTAGTTTGATCCAACTTAAAAGATAGGATAGCTTACATCTCAATTTATACCCGCAATATTATTTTATTGCAAAGTATTTGCTTATTATTTGATAGTCACAATTCTAACAGATGGCGCTGTGTTGAAAGTACCAACTTTTCACATAAGCTACAAATAAGCATGGTGGTCCCCATGACTGGTGTTCTCCTACCGTTTCCCTTGAATAGGTTACTACTATGTAATATAACTAAAACCTTTGCCACAGCAACGCTTGGCCGGTCTGCTAGTAATAATATAAGCATTTATTCCTAGTATTAGTAGGTTCCTATAGTTACTAATAAATAATCTGTAATGGTTTTAAAAATCTTGTCAAATAGCTTCAATATCCCTGCAACTGCAATAAAATCGTTTCCATTTCTAGCTCAGCCCAGCTTCTTTGCTGGCTCCGGATGCAAAATTGGCTCCTCTACCAAACATTGAAATTTCGGCTCTACCTGAGATATCGCCGAACTATAAGCCGAGACCGCCTCCCAAGTTTCTTCCACATTTCGATGATATGGATTTAAGTACTGTTATGTCTTCGAAGAACCAAAGGTATTTGAATTGACTTATTTTATCCACCTAGTGTTTTAAATCTTTTTCAGTTTCTGTCAATATTCATTAACATTAAAATTAATGTAGTTAAATGTATAATATTTTAGATTACGTGTACGGTGTGCGCTACTGTTTCGTTAGCCTTAAGAATAATTACCGAATTTTATGTTTTCTTGCGTTATAAATGTGTGAATCAATAAAAAACTGGTGGATAGTCACAGAAACAATTTTTAATCTTATTATTATTTAACAACAAATATTGCTTTATAAAAAATTGCGGCAAAATAGACAACTAATATTTCTGTGTTTGTGGATCAGTGACATTTGGAGAAGTAAAACTCGCCTTATTTCTTATGTATTGTTTAATTTGTTCGAAAACTCTCGATAATAATTTACTATTCGATTTCTCGATCGAAGTCAAATCAAGAACGAAATCGAATCGTAAACCAAAACGGCCGACTTAATATTTATTTAAATTGTATGTGCCAGCTGTTAAATTGGTGTATTAATATGAATTGATTAACGAATAATAAAATTAAAAAGTATTGTAATAATACGTCTATTTTCAGAACAAAAGTTTACTCTGGAAATAAGGTGATAGGGAAAATACCTTCGCTGTATGAAATGTGTGTTCAAGTCCTTCAAGAACATATTGATGGTGAGTAGTGATCTACGAATTATAACGTCGCTGTAGAATGATAACCTCGTATGTCCAGAGAACCAAACATTACAGGAAACGAAAAAATGTTTCATTTCGTCAATGTTCGTTAAAATATTATTATGTGTTTTTGTCCATAGTTTGGATGGTTAAAAGGACCTATTTATTAATAGTAGTTAAATGACATAAGAGTCTAAGAATAAAAAATAAATGCTTTTTTGACTTACGAGGTTATTATTCTACAGTGACGATAATAGCCTTAATATTTTACTTAACACCTTGTACCTGTGTACATAAATGTGTATTTCACAAGATAGGATGGAATCTTTACATTTTATTTTATTCAGTAATCTACCTAGCCTTAATAATTAATAAATATATTTAAACATAAATTAATTTGACATTTACTCACTAGTGTCTAAAGAAAGTCATTTTCAGGGTTTAGGTCCTGATGGATCTCAAGGATTAAGGAGCATTGTCTCGAACCACCCTATTTTGGAATCTTAGTAATTTCCTTATCACTTTACCGGGTGCAACTCTATACTAATGTCCAAAATGGTTTCCGGATTTGTTAATCCAAGTAGCCATTTACGATTCCTTTATCTTGACGTTTGCGAATCGAATTACTTTTCCTTTTTCTTTGACATGATCTATCTTTACATATATCGGACCGAGTCGGCCACGGCGGCTTATCTCTATTGAGACAGGGCGCAAGTACAATACAATACTCCGATGGGACAGTCTGACACGACAGGAATATTTTTTAAACAGTCGAATCCTCCGCATCGGTGCGCTCGTGTGTACGTTTAAACACCGCTAACGTCCTATTATAGGGCTACCATTAATTTTTTTAGATGCTAATTATTTAAGCCAGCTTGTTTTAATTGTCAGTCTCGTCTTCAAACAAACTTTGAATTGTAGGTTTTGAAGTAGGTCAGCTACTAACTTTATCTAATAAATATCGGAAGTGCTTAAAAATGGTTATGCTGCACTTAAAAAATATTATTAATATATGTCTGTGCGGGGGCCTGGATAAATTTATTGCATTTCGCGGACAAACAGTGCTTGGATATGTACAGGTTTGATTTTCACGTTTACTCAATTGATATTGATAAATTTTGACAATTTCAGCTCTGGAATACACTGGTGGTGTGCCATATGAGATATTGAAACCAGTTGTGGATAGAGCGACCCCCCAACAGCTCTTTATGTTGGAGCACTTTAATCCCTATCTTATGGAGGACACTGACCATTTATGGCAGAATTTCTGTATAAAGCATTTCAGGAATAAGAAACGAATGGAGATGGAGACGTGGCGGGAGATGTATATGGTAAGGAATACGTATGAATAATATGTTTAGTTTCGTAGTATATGCAATTTCCGATTTTAAATATTAAACGAAACTCATTGTAATTTTTCTGTAACCAAATTTAAAGACCACTTAAATCATCCTAAGCTGACGACATCTTCTGAATGTTTTATCGTATTAAAAACATATTGATTGTTCTAATTTTACAGCGTTGTCAAGAAGAGCAAGAAATCAAACTAAAATCCCTGACGGAGAATATAAAAATAGCCCAAGAAGCAAAAAGGCGCCAATCAAACAGACAAAGATGGCGTACGTTGATACAGTTGTCAAACCACCGCGAAGTATTGCCAGGAAACAAGTATGTATCATTTCCTCTATAATCTATATGAATTTTTCTCTAGGTGATATTACATTCGTAATTAAATTTAAAAATATCTACATACCTTATAACTTTTAAACATTCCGATTAAATTTATTTATTTTTATTTCAATAAATTCAGAAAATCAATTCAAACTCAAACTCAAAATATCTTTATTCAAGTGGGTAACCAAGTACACTTTTGAATCGTCAAGTTAAATTACTCGTAAATTTACATTTACTACCAGTTCGCAAGTCAAGGGCGTAGAGCGGGTAAGAAGAACTGGCAAGAAACTTTCCGCCACTCTTTTTATTCGCCAAGTATTGTCATAAAAATTGTTTGAACTGGAGCAATTCAATCCCAAGGATTAGGATCATTTAAGTAGTCCTCAAATTTATAAAAAGCTTTGTTGATTAATTTTCGTTTAATTTATGAATTTGAATTTATTTAGTGATAATACTCTAATTTCGCTTGGGAGTTTGTTGTAAAAACGAATACAGTTTCCATATAAGGAGTGGTTCAATTTATATCATATCGTATCTGGGTTTTATGATTGACGTTGTGTCTTATAGACCAGGGTAGAAGCCTTTAAAAAAAATAAAAAGTGGAAAAAATAATATTGTAGGATGATCGCGATCTCAGGTCGACCGTAAATTATTTTTCCTTTCATTTTTATAATATTCTCCTCCTTTTCCAATGGTTTTCATCGTACAATTTTTTTTGGTTTCAAAAATTATCGATCCTGGTCTATTACATAAGAATCACTTCAATAATCAGCAAAAATATTGCTTCACTGATGGTAATAAGATGTATCTGAGAAAATATAGGAATTTTTGTGGGAAAACGATATAATTTTTTATTTCATAAACCATGTGTTGTAATTTTACTACAATATGATGATACATAATATATACAAATTTATTTAAATATTAATATTGTTTTTATTTTATGCTACATTGAGATTATGTATTAATCTCCTGCAAGGTGCAAGGCAATGTACTAAATAAATTTGGTTTTCAATTGACGCACTATATTAAGTTGTTGTCATAATAATTTGGCTCACGTGCCGTTCCCGTACATGACATCCTATAGATGCCAAAAAAATCAGCATCATTTTATATGCATAGTTGTCTTATATAATACTCAGAGATTTTGAGATCACCTAAGCTAAAACTCATTGTTTACATACAATTTTTTTGCTGCGGTAACTACCTCGTGAATGCTCCGTAGTTGGGAGGCAATTGTTACCATATTCTTTATTATTCTTTTCTTATTCTAATTCTCTTTAAAAACGTACCATACTGAGTACTATAAAAAAAATCTACAGTATATTGATAAGATGCTGATAACTTTTTTCCTTTAACGTTAGCCAAAACTTTTCTATATAACTAACAATATTGTACACAGGCGCAGCACGGAACAGCATTTGCTGCAACTGCAAGTCCGGCAGCAAGAGTAGCATCATTGGCTTCTGCCCCCAACGTACTGAAGGGCGGAAGACCTACCCCAGTTACAACACTATCTCCCTTCGTGAAACCTAAAAAAGCACCCCTGATGCAAAAAGCCCTCCAATTAATGAGGGGAAGAAAACGGTGAATTTCCATAGAAATTATTGTAAGCAAGTGTTACCGACCAGCGATGATGTGAGTTTTTGTCTTGGTTCAACTATCCATTAGCAGGAAATTTGTAAATAATATAGCGTAGATTTGAGGTAAAATTGTCCTAAGTAGTTTTTCTATGGTTAAAGTCGGCTTATAAAGTACTACTTGTGAGAATTACAATTCTACTAGTTTTTGTTATGCATATAGTAATATATATAATGTTCAAATCCTGTACAGAATGTACTTTTGATAACCTGAAGAACCTTGATCAAGGTTTTTGTAAGAAACAAAACCCAATTGTTTTCAGGACTTGGGGTAATGTAAATATATATTTATCACAATGATCCTGTGCACTAGTTAAATTTCATTTATATAAATTTCACTTTGATTTTTGTTTAATATTTTTATTATACAGATTTCAATTAAAAAAATGTACCTATAGTAACTTATAATCGTATCTTAAATGATTCAAAATATTGTATAAATGTAATAAATATAGAAATCAATAATTCTATATTATAAACTCTTTTAAAAGCTTTACTTCGATATATTTTTGTATTTACTTAGGGTGATATTCAGAGTTGAGGGCCGAGGCTAATCACTAAATATGGCTCCCATATGTCAAAAATGTTTGGAGTTACAATTCACTTGACTATGAATCTTGCCTTAATTATTTATTTATTTTATTTGCTTTACAGGCTTTGAAATTTACATTGATATACCAATACATACTCTCAATTATTTCAATAGATAATACAATTTGTATTTTGATATAAAGTGTTTTTTTCATAAACTGCGTAGAAGACTCCCTTTGGAATCCATTTTTGATTGAAATTCAAAGACAAGTTTAGATATGAACTTTCTCATTTTTTTTTAAATATAGTAGCTTCTACAGTCTAAACCTAATCCGGCATAAATTGAACATAACTCACACATTGACTGGTACATGAATTATTTTAGAAATATTTTAATGTAATGTAGTTTGTATGTAGTATTTTGATTGTAGTGATTAATTTAAGAGTAAGAAATAGATGTGTCTGGTTCCTATATCTAACAAATGACTGTTGGTATATTGATGTTGCTATATTCTACACAAATTACGATCAAAATCTCATTGAACACATGTATTTAGAAAAGTTATTTCTCTGTTAGTATGATATAGAAACCTGACAAGAACGGATTTGATGAATTTGACCAATTCTTATTGTTTGACATTAGTGTTGTTATCATGATTTTAATGAAATATGTATTTTTATATTTTATATCATCACAAAGTTATTTCACTGGGACTATTCAAATAACAAAATAATATATAAGTATACAATTGTCAGTTCCAATTGGAAAATGTATATATTAAATAGCAAAAAAATCTTATGCATATAATAAATAACATATTGAAAATCAAATCAAATGTCCTTTCACATGTCTTCAAAGTGTCAGGATAAGATTCAGAGACAGGTTATTAACCATCTGTCAAAATCAGACATCCATTTGACAGGGTAGAGACGTAGTACCCAGTTACTTGTTTCTGAACCTTAGCCCTTGAAATTCGCACCAAAGAACCACTGTCTACCTACATTTACAGTGAGTTAACGGTCATTTTTAGTCACATAACATTTGTAATATGAAATAGAACTTTATTCCTCATCTAAGTAAGGCTTGTCATAGACCGTAATGTTATAGTATGTGACTTTTGCAAGTTCTGAGGGAATTCATCAAACTATTGTGTATGTATTATATACAAGTTTTCTTTTAAATTCTCAAACTATTTCTCTCTTTTGCATATACTTTAATCTTCATCTTCATGTCTTACTTATCTTCAGCAAATAAAAAATGTGTACATAAATATATTGTTTATTTATGGTAACTTGAGTATTAAGTTAAAAACATATTACCTCTTATAATGTTCATATTTTATGCAGTACTGAGTATGCTTAAAACATTTTTGACAGTAGCTTTTATCATAACTACCTGTCAGTTTAAAAAGAAATGTGATTCAGACGTATTAATAGACAACATCAAAACATTTTTAAAAATGTTTTTCCTTCCTTCCTCACCCTTTCTCTCAATTAAATCAAAATTCAACAAGTTTTAAAATATAATATAAGATACATTCTATTAATTATAACACAAATATCACAGAAAAATGATATATCAGTTACTTTGCCAACCTATTATTGCTTTTTGACAAATCAAATCAAAGTTATGCATTAAACATTTTATTTGAACAATCTTGATTCTTGACACTTTTTATGTTTATGTAGTACAACACTACTAAAACATTCCTAAATGTTAATTAGATTTCGAAATCAATAGAGCACCACATCTATGTTCCTAAATTTAGATTTTAGTTGTTTCTCATAATCTGTGTTTATAATTCGAGGGCACTGTTGTAACGCCAAAAACGTTAAATTTTTATAATATTCTGATTTTATATCAACTATTACAGGTGAAATATTCTTCACTCTAGACAAACTGAGACTTTCTAATGTTATTAAAGTAGCACTGCCCAAAGTTTTTAAGAGTATCATTTCTGAGAAATAGTTGTTGTTTCATATTTGTAAGTGTTCTAATTTCTTGAAATGTATTAAAGCTAAAAGTCCTACATCGGTAAGGTTTTCACATCTTATTATAGCCAAATCTCTTAGTTGTGTACATCTGGACAGCATTTTTAAGCAAGAATCATCAACAGAATCCCCACCATGTATATGCAAAGTTTCCAAGATGATTTCTTTTGATAAAATTAAATTTTTCACAAAATCTAAGTTTAAATCCCAAATCTTTTCAATATATATGTGGGACAAATTTTTGCATTTCAGTAACATATTACAATTACCAGGAGCAAGGCCAAAATCTTATAAGGCTAAATATTTTAGCTCTTTAAGATGATTAAATGGGAATAACCAATCCACTTCACTAGATACCTAAATAGAATTCTTTAAACTAAGTTTCCTTAAATGTGTCCGGTTTCTTAAATCATCCTTAAAGTTCTTATTCTACACATGACTAGTTCTAGTGAAATTAAATTGTGACATTTTTTTAAATGCTCTCTATGTCTGAATAGTTGTAAACATACTGTATTTTCAATGAATAAATAAAGTCACTGTGTGTTGATATTATCTCCAAATTTTTCTCACTTACTTCACTTTGTCCAGGTTTCCCTGAAAAGACAATAACAAATTGTCTCCACAAGATGGGATCCAAAGCCAATTTTCTCCATCTTTTGGATACATCTTCACACATAAGAATATCTTCCAGAGAAAGATATTTGAAAAACAAGACTATTAGTTAATCTGGTAAGTTGTTTATTGAAGTAAAGTCAGACAGATCTTCTCCAGCCATTGTTAAATACAATGTGTTCTAAAAGTATACCTCTTATTAAAATATTCAGTTAAGAAAATGTTAATAATACATTGAAAATAAAATAATAAATACCAACCTATATTAATTGCTTTCTTCTGTAAATAAAAGCTTACAGTAAAAAGCAGTCTATAGTTCTTTTGCACTTCAGCTTCAAATATTGCATGTTTACAACACAAAATTAGCGAAAATTCAAAAATAATTTGACATATTAAATCAGTTTTAATGTTTGTTTATTACATATCGCACATCGGCAACGAGAGTGTCACAACACAATAAATGTAGTTTTTGGGAAATCACGATTTATTTATTTTATAAATTTAGAAGTCCAATTATTTTTTGCTGGAAAAGCATATCGGAGAACTTATGATATATTTAAGAAGATTATTTAATGCCCTATTAGGTTTTTATGTAAATTAAAATCTAAAGAAATTCGTTCTATTTTATATTTATTTTTTTACTTTAAAATTCCACTAATGTGTCACTTTTTCAGAAAAAAATATCAAAAATGTCATAAAATGAAACACTTTTATTTGTTAATACTTTTTATTGTTTTTTTAAGTAAATCAAATAATATTAAACAATATCTTTGTAGGTAGTTATTACCAGTTATATAAGAAACTAGCCGTTTCGCGCCCGCTTTGCTGGACGAATTAAAATAAATTTTATGTTTCATTATTTTATTTTTTTTTCATATTTTTATTATTCTTTTTAACTTCCCGCTAAGAAAATTGAAATATTTCGAAAATCGAGTTTTTAACAGATGTTGACGTTTAGAGGTTCTAGGAAGCCTCCCCGAATGTTTCCGCGGTGAAGTCCGTATGGATAAATTTTCATAAAAGTAAAACAGCAATAAAAAAATGAAGGAACGTTGGAATTTAATAAATAAATAGCTATAAACCATCTAGGAAATTTCGCATCGAATGGTGGTAGTTTCATGTCGATACGATCAGTGGTTTAGGCGTGAAGGAGCCTCAAACGAAGACCATTTTTCTTTTATATATATAGACAAGTAAGATATCATAACTATTCATATAACATCAAAATGGCGTTTGTTCATACAATAGATAAAATCTCTCCTCTCCTCTAGAAAACTATTCCAAAATTATAATATTTACACAAACAAAATGAAATTATATTGTATACAATAATAACCTTAGGCCTTTTTTTGTTAACTTAACCTAGAAGTGAAAAATGACATAATATTTAGTAGCTTTTTGTACTTGCGTATTACTTATTCTAATAACTAAAACTTTCTAAAAATAAGAAAAGAAAAAACACTGTTTGTGTGATAACGAAATGATCAAAATCAAAACCTTTAATAAAATAATCTCCATAAAAATACTATAATTACTCATTTATAATTAATAGGAACATAGATCAAATCATCAGTCTTCAAATAAACAAAGTTTAAAATAAATTAATTGTTATTAAGAGATCTGTAAAACGACTCATAGAATTGAGGAATGTGATTGCTTTTTACCAAACCTAGTAGGTCATTTATTTTATTTGGTTTCAATTTAGGTTTAGTGTAGTTCTATAGGCTGGTTTCAAAATGATCGTCCCAAAAATTTTTTTCGAGTCAACTCTGCTGTCAGGAACTCCGTTTGGTTAAACGAAGTTTTATAAAATAATGTTGTAGGTGCGTCTTTCGTTAACTTCAATGTTTTCACGTCTAATATTTTAAAGGATTTTGTTTGGATGCCCATATTCTGCGTTAAAGTTTTTAACGACACAAAATCGCAGGAACTCATTTCAGTCAAGTTGTACGGTCTTCCTTTTTTCTTCGCTGACCTGATCACTTCAGCGTACTGGCTTGGCACGTAAATAGGCCCAGATTTTAACCTTTTCTGTATCTGTTTTTCAATGGTAGAATGGACAGCATCACCTTCATTTTGTGTCCGGTTATCAGAAACTTATGAGATATACTTTTAAGGTTTGAATACTTACACAGGCAAAACGAATATAACGATAAAATAAATCTGTTTTTATTTTGACCACAGCAGTTATCTGAATAAAATGTGATATCAAGACCTGGACCATCATAAGACGTCATTTTGCTTTCAATGTATTTTAATACGCACGAGCCAATTTCATCGGACCCACGATTAGCTTCCTCTTCATGCCAGAAATAACATTCGTTTCTATCAGTACTCAATTCTGAAATCGTTAAGTTAAAATTATTTAATTTTGATTTATAATAAAATATTGAGGTGTTTCCACGAGGTAGCTGCAAGACAGCTTGTAAGTCATATACAGCTACTACATAATCTTGGCTGATATTTCCTTTATCACGTTCTTTTTCTCTTCTTGATTCTTCTTTTTCTTCTAAATGTTTTAAATATTTCAGCTTTAAGTTTTCTTTTGCACTACCTTCGGCAATTTCATAACTCGTACAAAGTTCACAGCGGTCTTTCTTAGGTGTAAAAAAACTTATGTTAAAGTTGTTATTAAAGATTCTGGAATACATTGTCTCATTAGCGTAAGGTTGCTATTTTGATTCAAAGTTCTTTTTATAGTCTCTATATAAGTCTGCAAGTGTCTTACCACCTTCTATAAATTCTCGTGTTGTATTTTTTCTAATGTAATGGCTCTCCATCCTTGGTATTGAGCTAATATGATCTTTAACCCCTTGTTTTATAGAATTATCTACAGTGTGGTGATGACCGTGCTTACCTCTTAGATCTTGCTGTAAAAATCCATCTTCACTTTTTTGTATAACAGTACGAATGACACGGTCATTAATGCATTGTTTCTTGATTGAATGTAAAATAAAAAGCGTGATTGACTCGTCTTTTCGTGTTTTTCTTTTGCAGTAAATCTAACTTTAGGGATGATAGGTTTAATAGATTTATGAATAGAGTTCCGTTGTGCCGTGATGTCGCCCAGTTTCCAGTAAGTATCAAATTTGTATTTTCTATGGCTTTCGTTTATTTCGGTACAGTTTAGTTCGGTACAGTTTAATTTGCATTTTTCATTGCATGGAGGCAACATTGATCTCGCAGGTATCGCTTTTTTTGTCTTGGTTCTTGAAATATACGCCTTGCCAAAATTTCTAGCTTTTTTAGCTTTATTACTCAACCAGTCTTTTCTTCGACATAAACACTTTTTCCCTTTTTTTGTTGCATTTGTTTCGTTTATATTATTACTTATTTCATGATTCGATTCTGGTTCCTTTTTGCCTTGAGAAACTGCGATCGACAAGAATGAGACATTGGCCGTAGAGCTTGATGGTAATATTGCAGAATTTGAACGCAGAATACTGGAGCTTGAACCAGAAGATGAGCAAGAACTAGAGAATGAACTGGAGCTCGACAATGAGCTTGAAGATGAATGGAGTCGTAGTTAGGAATCTTTTCAGAATTGAACTGAACTTCCTGCTGTAGTATATTTATAGATTCAAACGATAAGTTATCAGTTATTTCTTCCTGGCTATTACAAAAAAATCTTCTTCTTAGCATACCTGGATCAATAATAAAATTGGGATCCTTTACGCTATCGTCACTATTTTCAATAAAATCGTCTTCATTTGAAGGTTCTAGTGGCCCTGGCCTGGTGCCTGAATTATTATAAATTAGGTTTTTAATATAGGTTTACGTAACACATTTAATCATAACAAAAATTACAAAAATAAAATAAATAATTTAGTAGGTACACTCACCATCCTTATTAATGAAATATTCATCTTCGTGTACCTACTGCAACTACGTTATCTAAATTATTATTTCGTAGACTAAATTGTTTAAAACTTGTAGATTCAGCTGCAAAAAATTGATGTGAACAGAATATTAATCAAATCAAATCAAAATACGTTTATTCAATTTAGATGCTTCTTAGAGCATGCTTATGAATGTCAACAACGTTTACAAAATTCACGAAAGAGCAATACTACGCCATCCATTAATTAATATAATCTAAAGTTTTGTAATAACGAAGGTATTTGAAAAAAAATACTATAACTTACCATCGTCATTATTTGGAAGTTTATTGGTATTGTTGATATTTTCTTTATACGTTTCAGATTCATCTATGCCAATGGATACTTCTTGAGTGTCATTGTGTAAAACTAAATCAATCATGAACTTGTTCCTTGAATTCCTCGTCATTATGTCCTAATAAAGTAAAAAAAACCCAGTTGTAATGCGCTCTATGATAATTTACAAACACTATATAAAACAAAATCAAAGACACATTATTAAATAATACCCAATTAAATACTTTTCTTAGTCGGTAGTACAGTTATATAACATGTTATAACACTTCTTCTCATATAATAATTCAGTATCAGTCAACACTAAAGCGCGAAAATAGTCATTTCACATAATATGACAGTTCTATTCTCTAATTTTAAGATAGTTAGTGAGATTAACTCAAAAATATGGTCATTTCACATGATGTGACTGTCTTTTTGCCGAAATCAAAGCAAATATATGAAAATTACTTACCGTAATAGGGTCGTTACACAGATTATGACAGTACAACACACACTAGACGCACGTCCGCTCCGTATCAATTTTGATGCGACACTATTTACGCTAGTCCTGTGTCGGTTATGAACGACCGAGTCAAAACGACCGAGTCCCAACAATCGCGTGATTGATACAATCGTTCACAGCCGCTATATCCCAATCATGTTTGACCGACACGACCGTTCGGTCTCAAAGCGAACGCTATGAAATGGTAGCTCCTCGGTTACTATCGGCTCTCGGTCTCATAGAATATTATTCGCGATTGACATACACTCGGTTAATCTCTGAAGACCGAAACTAGGGTCAAGCTATATTGAACTTTAATACTAAGGTGCGAAGGTAATAATTTTCTTTCGTATCTCGATTCAAGGAAAAAATGTTCGTAACACGTAGATGTTAAGGGCTATGTTAACATGTGGATTTTAACATGCTTTTTGTTTACGTTCAAATTCTAAATGTAAACAATCGCCGTTGTAATTATTTCACTTATGATTTGTATAAGCATTTAAATTTATAGAGTCAATTATTATTATTTAAAGTTATTAGTTGGATATTGTGATTATTTAGACTCTTAACTTCGCTTTGGATATTTAAAAAGTAGTAACTATTGTTTTATATGGTGCCGTTTTATTTCTAAATCATAATTTAAAATAGCATAATTTTCTTTGTTTATTGGATTTTAATAAACCATTTTCCATTTTTTAAGTTTTTATACCAGGAATCATTACCTAGCTTATTTCCTGTAAACTACGAAATTGTTGAACGATGGCCATTAAATTTGCTCTACGCCGGTCGCCGCCTTTTGTTTTGCACTCAACGAACGGTGACCGATCGAATCCTTTGACTCGGTCACGAGTGCGATCGGTCACGATCGACCCGGGTCGCGAGAAATGAACGACCGACACAGGCCTAATTTACGCCGCTAAAGGTAGGAAAGTGACTCAGTGAAAAAGGGTATTAAATGCCATCATCTACTCATCGAGGAGTAGCACTATAATTATGACAATTTTTTAGCCGATAAAGTTTGTGATTGCCCTTCTTAAGGCATGCTTATCTCAATTTCTTATTTTTATGTGTTGTGACACTCTCGTTGCCGATGTGCGATATTTACAACAATTAGAACTACTTTTGTCTCAACTCATAGAGGTATAACAATAATATCGTCCCCGTAGAGCGAAAACTCATTAAGTCCAAAAAACCTGTTTCGAGATAATGAGGGTTAAAGTTTTGAAATATATAAATTGCCATAACTTTAGCATGTCTTGACATATTTTAATGTTTTTAGTTTCATTTTGAAGGAAATCAAATTAAGTTAAAATGATGTTAGCTACCCAAAGTGATGATTAAGTTATTACTGAGAAAACCTAAAAAAAAAAAAACAATTAGTTATTTGTTCTCTGTAGACTGTAGCATATCCGATGTAGGTAGTTTGTGATTTTTCACTCAGATCGAGTTTATTTTCATGATAAATAACTTGAGTTGGGTAATTTACGACTAACTGGTAGATATACAAAATATACATAATGAAAAAAAACTTAAGAGTTAAAAGACATTTTGTTTTATAATAGTATAAAATCTAACTACTTTTATATAAAAAAATCTTCTACACTTCCTATGGATTAAAAATGTTAATATAAAAGTAACTAAATCTTTTATTTTTTAAGCTATGTAAGTTTTTGATAAATAAAAAATAGTTAACATGATTTAGTTATTTCTCTTATTTTCTATTAGGACCAAAGAATAGATTTATTTAATTTTCACTTTTTGTAAATCGGAAACTAGGATACCTACAAAATTGACGGTAAGACAGTTAAATAGAGAAAAAAAAATAGTTTTAATGGCATTGTTAACTCGATTTGGCCATTTTTCGACTTAATGAGTTTTCGCTATACGGGGACGATATATTCTATAGTGGGAATAGAGAGACATCTTACCGTTTTTTTTGTCATATCATAAACTATACGTCTTTGTGGATATACAACGCCATCTCTTATCGATATCGAAAACTAACTATATGTGTGTATGCACACACACGCAGCTATGCACTTTATAAGGTATAGAGAATTAGGTACAAGTACTACAAATGTATAGATTATATAGGAATATGTTATATAATCTAGACCATAGTAGTACTTGTACCTAGTACTTATTAGTTTAAAGAAAATTGAAGAGTATCTCATATTGGTTGTATTACAATATTTATTTGCTTAGTTCAATACCCGTAAACTGACAAAAATATTTATTTACCTACATCAAAGACATGTACAATTAATTAAATAAAATACCAAAATATTAATTATTTCTTAAAATATTCGTGTTTGTTAAAATATTCTTGAACAAAAGTTGATGGAGGGTTGTGGTGTTGTGTTGCTATATGTACCTTGTTTGATGGAGGGTTGTGGTCGCATTCCCCACGGGGACCAGCCGGATTGGGGAGTAATCTGTCGTTATTGTTCTGTTTATAGTTGTCGTGCTTTTTCCTGGTTCTGGTCTGCCGTGTATAAATTTTATTGATTGTTTGTTCTGCCAGTATTGGAAGCTGAGTTTGCTCTTGAACGAAATATTTGTGGGTGCGACTTACTAATTTTTGTAGGTGCCGATGTTTCTGTGTTTTTGCTGCCGTTACCATTATCTGAAGATGATCTTCTCCTTTTGGCATCTGTTATACCTTTTTCTCGTATTATTAGTTTGTCATATCGTATAAAAGCTAGTTTCCCATCCTTTTCTGCCTTAATTTTCATTTGTTTTAACTCTTTACGTTTGATTAGAACTTCCTTTGGATAGTCTTCCGTAGCATATATGTTAGAAGGAAAGTAGTGGTTGTTCTTTAGGAGTTCATACATCCGCCATGCTAGAGTGAGTGTTATAAGTATTGGTCTTTTTTTACCTTCCATCTTCTTACAGAGCCTTCTTAGGTTGCTGAGTTCCCACTGGTCCCATTCCCGCGTTTCTTTATTTTTTCGACTAATTTCGTTTAATATCTCTAGTACGTTTTTCATGAGATCATTAGTGTTTGTTTCGGTTTCTGCCACGTTATGAAGTATAATGTTGTTTTTTCTTGTAGTTCTCTCTAGATCCCTGACTCGTGTCCGAAGAGTTTTTACCTCTTGTTTTAGGTTTTTGTTTTCTTCTCTCATTGGTTTTAGTTTTTCGTCAATAACATTTACAGGTTCCTGTTAAATTTTTCTGCCAACTCTTCAGTTTGTTTTTTAAAATCAATTTTCATTTCTTCAATTTTTTCTAATATTAATTTTACTTGAAGATCCATTGTAGTTTTGTTTCTCTGTTTTTGATGGTTTTCTAGTATTTTTTTATATATATACTGCTACCTCTTTATTTTCACAACTATTGCATTTATGAATTTTCTATGGGGAAATTTTAATTTTTGAGTTGGCAACCCTTTTCATTGTTGTCTTGTTATGATAGATGTCAAGTTGTTAAAATGATGATGAGTCACTTAATTACGTGTTAATTATTACTTTCATAAAACTGTACCGATTAAATTCGTGAGCTGAGATATATTTTTGACTTGCCACTGGCACTTATGATCATCAGCTTCGAATTGCCAATTTGGAAAAAGAAGCTTTGAAGTTTACATAGTACCAATATATACTCTCAATTATTTCAATAGGTAATACAACTACAATTTGTTTTTTCATAAACTGTGTAGAAGACTCTGGAATCCTTTTTTGATTGAAATTCAAAGACAAGTTTATGAAGGAACTTTCTTATTTCTGAGAAAAATATAGTAGCTCCTATAGTCTAAACATAATCCAGCATAATAAATTGAATATAACTCACGCATTGACTGGTACACAAATTATTTTAGAAATATTTTAATGTAATGTAGTTTGTATGTAGTCATTAATTTAAGAGTATGAAATAGGTGTTTCTGGTTCCTATAACAAATGACTGTTGTTATTGATGTTGCTATATTCTACACAAATTACGATCAAAATTACATTGAACACATGTATTTAGAAAAGTTATTTATATAATCTCATTCGGTAATATTCTAATTATGAAATGAAATACAGACTTTTATTGGCATATTTTATTTACATACTACTTTAAGAAAATTAAAAAACTAAATTAAAGCATTATTCTCCTAACAAAACAATGCATTGAAATATTTTTTAAATTATTAAAGTACAATGTGTCCCGACCAAGGAGGTTTCAATTCAATTTAAGTACACAATATTATCTGTGGCGAGCGCGCTGCTTCTGGGCCAATAGACCAATATCAGACTTTTTCTATTTTGGCGCTATTTCATACATACGAATTTGAGTAATATTTTGTTGGATAAAACTATAGTAGCAAAAATGTCAAGTAACACCGACGATACCGATGAAAATTTAACTCCAACTGACATTCTAGAAACAGCTACGCAACTGACGAAGTCTTTTGCCAGAAAACTCAAGAAAAGTGTACGACAAATGTTACCAAGTATTATGTGACAGCTGTTGCGTACACTACTATTCTCTGTTAGTATGCTATAGAAACCTGACAAGAACGGATTTGACCAATTTTTATTGTTTGACATTAGTGTTGTTCTCATGATTTTTATGAAAAATATATTTTTATATTTTATATCATCACAAAGTGATTGCACTGGGACAATTCAGACAACAAAATAATATAAAAGTATACAAATGTCAGATCCAATTGGAAAATGTATGTCATAGCCTTTCAGACGTCTTCAGAGTCAGGATAAGATTTAGAGACAGGTTATATAATATACCATCTATCTGTATAAACCATCTATCATAATCAGACAACCATTTGACTGGTTAGAGACTTAGTTCCTAGTTACTCGTCTCTGAACCTTAGCCCTTGAAATTCGCGCCAGAGAACCACTGTTTACCTACATTTACAGTGAGTTAACGGTCATTTTTAGTCACATAACATTTGTAATATGAAATGGAACTATATTCCTCATCTAAAGGTGCGCTTACACGAGGGCAATAATTGCTCGGCGAGACGAATGGACCGATCTGGAGCAATTAATGGAGCAATTTCAATAAATTCAATAAGTTGCAATAAATTATTTCGGCGATATTGCTTCTAATTGCTCCAGATATTTCATATCGCTCAATGTCGCAGATACGAATTGACGAATATCCAATGGACTTGGAAATTCCTAGCAATTTTTGTATATGTCTCATTCGCACTTGTTTGTTTTGCGGCTTGCCGTCTTGCTTCCGCGGGGAGAGCGAGAGGTCTAAATAATAATAATTTCTAATTACTTTATTCAAAAGTAATTCAAAGTCTGTTCGTGACATTCTAGTAAAGTTTTTGAATAATATATCATCTAATTCTTTACATAATGAAAATTTTGTCCTCTTTGCCAAAAACGATCGCACCCAGATGCGCCTATTCCTTTTCTTTCTTTTTTGTTTTTGATTAATGATAAAAAAAGCGCTACAAGCCGCCGCAGCAAGAACAATGTCGTCCATAGCGAGCGAAAACTGAAATGCTCGTGTATGACAGTATTGCCTAGTTGATGAAGTTGCGCCATTTCGCTCAATATTGTATTGCGCAGTATTGATGCTTGTTGCCATTGCCGTAAATTGCTTGATGTAGTCGTGACGTCATAATTGACGAGTATTGACTGGAATTGTGCAATTTTAGTTGCCCGTGTAAGCGCACCTTAAGTAAGGCTTGTCACAGACCGTAATGTTATAGTATGTGACTTTTGCAAGTTCTGAGGGAATTCATCAAACTATTGTGTATGTATTATCTACAAGTTTTCTTTTAAATCTATTATCAAACTATTTCTCTCTTTTGCATATACTTTAATCCTCATCTTCAGAAAATAAAAAATGTGTACATCAATATATTATTATTTATTTATGGAAACTTTAGTAGTGAGAGACACTTCGAGAGTGCCATGAACGCGCCAACATTTCGAATTTATAAAGAAGAAAATAATGTTAAATTAACTTAATATATTTGCGAACTCTTTGAACGATATGGTGTTCGCTTTAAGTAATATACCTATATCTGTAAACATTGCACCTTATTTTTATCATTTAAAACTCGTTTGGCATTATAATGCTTTCGAAGTCTTCCGAATTTACGTCACTATACAAATCGCAGATTTTTTGGCAGTGCATTCAGATGCGATTTTATGTTTATACAATTAACGCTTTGTTCATCCCACTGTATTCACCTTGTGTCAGCATATTATATTTCTAATAATAAAAATGAGCCAATAGATGGCACTAACACTAAAAACTGTAATTGTTATTGGGCTATTGGCTATCTGTGTAATCATAAAATTTTTCATCAGAATGGAAATTATCGTACAATCTGCGTACGATAGTCGTGTGCCATAGTACGTAGTAGGGATGTGAAAAAATAATCGATTATAAAGTAAAAATCGATTTTTTTACGCGATTTTTATATTTAAAATAATCATTTTTATAATTGAAAATCAGTCATAATCGATTTTTTATCTGCCACCTCCCGACATTATGTCTGGTCTTTTATAACCCGGACCTCGAACTATTAGGGATAATCGATATACAACGATGTTTACAATGCGATACATTGAATCCGATTCTTTGAAGATGTATTGATATACTCGATACATTTATTTTTTTTGTAAAACATCAAAAGGATGATAAAAGCAGTTAATTTTACAAAAACTGAAGTTTGAATGGAACACTATAATTTAAAAGTAAAATAAATTTATTCAGCAGCACAAGACTACATACAATTAAAAAGACAACAAAAATACTGCAATGTGCTACTGAAAAGGAATACACTCAGCATTTATCAAAATCTATCAAAACGAGATTAAGTTAATTTCTATTGTTTATTTTTAATTTAAAAAACTATGAAAAATAAAATATTTAGGGTGTTTATTTTGAAATTAATTCAAAAATTAGGAAAAAATCGATTAATAAAAAAAAACGATTATTTTTTTAAGAAAAATCGATTATTTATTAATCGATTAATAGAAAATCGATTTTTTATGCAGAATGTCACATCCCTAGTACGTAGATATGAAATTATCGTACGGTTCCGAACACTGCTGGGTATGCTCAAATCATTTTTGACAGATTTTATTTTAATTATTGAATTACCCCACCTGTCACTTTAAAAATAAATGTGATTTAGACATGTATTAATAGACAACGTCAAAACATTTAAAAAAAAATGTCTTTCCTTCCTCAAAGGAGTACCACACCCTTTCAATTAAATCAAAATTCAACAAGTTTTAAAATGATATATTAATATAAGATACATTCTACAATCATTAATTATAACACTAATATCACAGAAAAAAATAATATATCAGTTACTCTGTCAACCTAGTATTTTTTTTTAACAAATCATATCAAAGTTATGCATTAAATGTTTTATTTGATCAATCTTGTTAAGACACTTTTTATATTTGTACTACTCTAAAACATTCCTAAATGTTAATTAGATTTCGAAATCAATAGAGCACAACATCTATGTTCCTAAATTTAGATTTCAGTTGTTTCTCATAATCTGTGTTTATAATTCGAGGGCACTGGTATAATGCCAAAAACTTTAAATTTTTATAGTACTCTGATATTATATCAACTATTACAGGTGAAATATTCTTCACTCTAGACAAACTGAGACTTTCTAATGTTATTAAAGTAGCACTGCCTAAAGTTTTTAAGAGTACCATTTCTGAGAAATTGTTGTTGTTCCATATTTGTAAGTGTTCTAATTTCTTGAAATGTATTAAAGCTAAAAGTCCTACATCGGTAAGGTTTTCACATCTTATTATAGCCAAATCTCTTAGTTGTGTACATCTGGACAGCATTTTTAAGCAAGAATCATCAACAGAATCCCCACCATGTATATGCAAAGTTTCCAAGATGTTTTCTTTTGATAAAATTAAATTTTTCACAAAATCTAAGTTTAAATCCCTAATCTTTTCTATAAATATATGGGACAAATTTTTGCATTGCAGCAACATATTACAATTACCAGGAGCAAGTCCAAAATCTGACAAGGCTAAATATTTTAGCTCTTTAAGATGATTAAATGGGAATAACCAATCCACTTCACTAGATAGCTGAATAGAATTCTTCAAACTAAGTTTCCTTAAATGTGTCCAATTTATTAAATCATCCTCAAAGTTCTTACTTATTCTACACATGACTAGTTCTAGTGAAATTAAATTGTGACATTTTTCCAAAATGCTCTGTATGTCTGAATAGTTGTAAACATACTGTATTTTCAATGAATAAATAAAGTCACTGTGTGTTGATATTATCTCCAAATTTTTCTCACTTACTTCACTTTGTCCAGGTTTCCCTGAAAAGACAATAACAAATTGTCTCCACAAGATGGGATCCAAAGCCAATTTTCTCCATCTTTTGGATACATCTTCACACATAAGAATATCTTCCAGAGAAAGATATTTGAAAAACAAGACTATTAGTTCATCTGGTAAGTTGTTTATTGAAGTAAAGTCAGACAGATCTTCTCCAGCCATTGTTAAATACAATGTGTTCTAAAAGTATACCTCTTATTAAAATATTCAGTTAAGTAAATGTTAATAATAAATTGTAAATGAAAAATTAAATAATAAGTACCAACCTATATTAATTGCTTTCTTCTGTAAATAAAAGCTTACAGTAAAAAGCAGTCTATAGTTCTTTGTTCTTTTGCGCTTCAGCTTCAAATAATGCAATTCACTAGTTGCATATTTACAACACAAATTTGGCGAAAATTCAAAAACAATTTGACATATCAGAAGAGTTTTATGTTTGTTTAGTACATATTTACAACAATTTGAACTTGTCTCAACTCTCAACTGCAGCTTACCACTACCTAATGGAAAATATGTCAAATTTGATATTTGACAGTTGTTAAATAGTATTGCCATTTTTTCATATTTTGTATGATTCTTTACTAAATGTTCTTTTTTCTATTACCTCAGATAATGATCAGTTTATTTAGAACGAGTGTTATCACATAATGACAAAACTAGTTACCCCAGTAAAATCTAAATAGCCTTTCGTCTGTACTGCTAGTTAAGAGCCAAATGGTCTATGGCCAAAGCCCGCATCATAATGATACACCCACCTGTACTCTATGGAAACCGGATAGATCACTATTTGCAGCTGACGCATAGCACCACGGCTTATTCTTGGCATAGTCGCAGACTTGCTTTCCGTCGGGGCGGGTCGTCTCTGCAGTTTTACTCTTATATTACTCAACCATTCGTGTTTTGGTTCCAGTGTAGAGCGACCCGATACCTAACCCGATTACTAGTACTTAATATATTACAATGTTACATTTAAAAAACTTCGCCAAGGCTGTGTCACCGCCCCTAAAAAACACAATTCAAAATGAGGGAGTCAATAGCATCTTCAAAATCGCGCCTGCTGCCGTGAACGTTTCTTGCAGAACATACGCGAGCCATGAAATTCCAGACAGGCTCAAAGATATTCCAAACAGTGCTAACCCTCGATTCTTTGACATGGTTGAGTACTTCTTCCACAGGGCGTGCCAAGTTGTCGAAGACCAGCTCGTCGAAGACATGAAGTCGAGAGTGCCTATTGAAGAAAAAAAGAAGAGGGTAGCTGGTATTCTAAACATGATGCAGCCTTGCGATCACATCCTTGAAATTCAGTTTCCATTGAGGCGCGATTCTGGTGATTATGAAATGATTCATGGATACAGAGCTCAACATTCCTCACACAGAACCCCAACTAAAGGAGGTAAGTGATCTTTTTATAGCTTACAATACAATTGCTAATAATTCGTAGATCTTGTAGTCGTTGTTATTAGAATATAATCTATAGAATATATTTATAGCTCGAGAGACACGTGATTGTACACTTTGCTATTACGTAGATAACCAAATTAACAGGACATAACCTGAAAATAATATGCTTTATCCGACCGCTTACCAAATTTATAAATTAGCAAGCTTTTTTAGATATTTTTTATTATTACCTACAAAAAGCATCATGGAAGTATGACAATATGTTTAGTACTAGTAGACATCTTAATTAAATATTCACATACCTGACAGGAGTCTAATTTCATGCATTTTTTTATTGTGACAATCAAATAAAGAATTTACGTATTTAACTACATTTAACTTTAATTAGAAATGTACAAAAGATAAATTTTTTTTATTTATATTTACATTTATCTGTGTAATGAATTCAAATAAAAGCGGTAAACATCGTCTCCCGTGCCAAAACAACATTTATTCTATAAATTGTTCATGACGTAAAGGTAAATTTAACTAAATCTGTTCAAATAAAAAATACTTTAAATCCTAAGACAGACAGGTGGTTTTATATAACATGCTGCTATGCGATTGTATACTTGAGGACTTAAAATCTTACATGTTAATCTTTAAATGTTTTTTTTTAGGCTTTAGCCAAGTATATTACGTCTAATATATCGATATCAACAGTCGCGCCAGAATATTTACCTGCTAAATTTCAATATTTACATATCAAGTTATCGTCGCTTCTCGGTTTTATAGTGAGAAGTCTATCTTAGCATATTTAACAGTGTATAAATGTTATGAAATATTCTAAAGATTTATAATTACTATTCACACTCCGTTTTACGCTGCCAGGCGGTGATTTTTTGTCCATTAATTAAACAAAAAAATTAGTTTTGCATACTTCCTGTAATTTTGCACCTGACGTTAATCAGTGATTTCAATTTATTCAAAGGGTTATCGAACTGGGCTTTTGGTGGTCTGAGACATTTTTATATTGTATTAATGTCGTGTCTGATACTAATAATTAATTTTGTTAACAATTTTTATAGGATTTATAATAATTAAACTATTCTAGATATATATAATAAGATGAATTAATAAAGTTATGTTACTCGTAAACGTTTATTTAACATAAGTATAACGGCATAATAGCATGTTTGCTATGATTGAATTGTGTCTGATGCCTCCCAGAATATTTACTGCAAAATTTATAACGGTAGGTAGGAACCGTTGTGGTATTGGTGTATTATTAGCGATTACAATAGAAGTTATAGATTCGGTGCACTAAGATATAATTAAGTTTTTTTGATCAAACTTTATTATGAGAAACCTTTAGTTCTAAGCTAATTGAGTAGTGTGTTATGTGTATAATCGGATCAAACGTATTCATTTAATAAATAATATTTTCATCAAAAAAATCCTGCCGCACATCACCTATTTGCTAACTTACCTAAGCTTTACGAACTAATACTACTTAGGGTAGGGGCTTTTAAGAAAAGAGCGTAATATTTCCTTAATGATCGGCAACACTTTCGCAAGCTGGGCTGTTACAGGTGTCCATTGGTCTATATTCAAACCGACCCGCCTGCTATTTTGCGGACAAGGGACAGGCCCTTATAAAAAATGTTTAATTGAGTGGAATTTGTATAACAACGTTAAATTTTACGCGAGACACTTCAATATTAAAGTAAAGTTAAAATGCAAAACCTAAAGACACTATTATTTAACAGTTTTCAAAGTTGTCGAAAGGAAAAATGAAGCTTAGTAAGCTTACGGAACTTGTATGGAAACAAATGCAGTAGACGCGACTGGACACAAAAAATACGTCTGGCCTCAGATTTAATCACATGGTTCACGTCCCGGATGGAATTTGAATCTTTCTTGGTTATGGGCTCCACCAACTCGCAATAATGAAATACTGTTTGAAGTATTAGTAATATAAATATAATAAATCTATTTCATGATAAGTATTATAGCTATTGAGTATATACAAAATGCCGGTTACGGAATATATTTATTGATTTCACCTAGAGAGCTAAGAGGCTATCAATCAATTTATCTTTTTGCGTAAATAATTATGAAGGATGATGTTTTAATGTAAGTTGTTTACAGATTATTCCAATCGTTTACCTACTATTAGACAATTTGAGTTATTATAAGGAAATTGAGAATTTCAATCAATTCCCTCCGTTCCACAGGTAACCCATTCATTTAAATCTCGCTAAAGGCAAGTTAGTATGAATACAAGATCATAAAGGTGTAAATTTTACGTCTATAATATTGTTTTTACACTTTGTTCACGAAAACGATAATTATATAATTTGGTAATAATAATAAAGGTCTAAAAGGCTAAGTAATAGGCGCCCTTATCACTTAAAAGCGTTCTCTTCTTGTCAACCATCCAACTAAATGAGAGCAAAAAACTTTAGAAGTGCAAATCGTATACGCACTTATAATTAACTTCCAGTTTGGTAAGCAGTCACATGATGGGTTTTTCTTAATAAGTCTTTAAAACAATTATTGTTGTTTCGCTGGGAATATACCCCATAAGAATCACCGGGTATCATGTGTTTGACATTGCTGATTGCACACAACGCCATTCAAGTTCAGTTTACACGTAGCTGGCATTGTATAATAAGTATTGACGTAATTATCGTCAGAACCACGCCCTCCCTAGGAGAATTATAATCGTCGGTTTATAAACTTAGATCTTCATTGCACGTTTTCTAAATAAACATAGTTTTACTTTGTTGCAGTAGCAATAAAATATAATCTTCCAATAATTACGTGTTTTAGCAGTGTGTTTAAAGCGTCATCGTTTTTATTCCAGAGAAACATATTCTATGCAATCATTCCTAACCGACTTTAAAAAACCCAAAGGAGGTTTACAATTCATCTTGTTTTTTTCTATACGAGTATTAGAAAGTACTACTTTTCATATGTTTAAATAGAAAATAAACTAAGAAATAGTCTCCGTAGCTTATATGTTCGAGTGAACAGTTGGTTTGTCATTCATTGTTAAAAATAGGAGACTTGAAAATTTTCTAATGCAGACTATTATTAGGCGACTTGGCTCGAATAGAATATCGTTGTTACGTTTCTTTTCACAAATTTCCGAGGAAAATATAGCTGCATGACCCCAATTAATAACAGAATGTACATTAAAATAACATAATCAATATAGAAAATACAAAATTCTTGAATTAATGTGGAAAGTGAATTACGCAATTAATATTGCATTTAAATATATAAGAAAACCCTCTGGAATTCTAATGATACAGTCAATGCGGACGAAGTTACGAATATAATATAGTCTCCGATAGTTGGTTAGGACTTAGGTAGTTACGTTTATAAATGGGAAAGTTTGCTATTCTACTTTCATTTAGCTTCGTATACTAGGGCGGAATCTGTTCATGTTATTAGTCTTAGTTTTACCTCATTTGTTAAATCTATTGCATCGTTCATTGGTAAAGAACATGTTAATTGAAGTTTATTGTAAAAACTCCCGTATTTCATAGTTACTTTTGTCCCCAGGTATAAGATTCTCAACAGACGTTACAAGGGATGAAGTTAAGGCTCTTTCTGCGTTGATGACGTTCAAGTGTGCCTGTGTGGATGTGCCATTCGGTGGTGCCAAAGCTGGTATCAAGATCAACCCTAAAGAATACTCTGAACATGAACTGGAGAAGATTACACGTCGTTTCACCTTGGAGCTCGCCAAGAAGGGCTTCATCGGTAAGTTATATCTTGGGAAACTGTAATCTGTACATTTATAATAAAATTATAATCTGAATTTTGCTAGGCTTCTAATATATCGGACGGAATTGGTTCTAGATTTAACATTTCACAGCCATTATGTTCTATAAAAATACTTGTATTAAGTACCAGTGAATATTAAAGAATTGATTTATTAACTGGATCTTTTAAATATACATTACTATTGACTATCCTAAATGTTATTAGCAACAACTATTTTATAAAATTTCTAGTTAGAAAACGATATTAAATTATTAAATAAAGCTGTTCTAGTGACACGACTGTATGTTTTATCTAATTCATTCCATTTCTATATGTACTCGAAGTCATGTGTTCAGATTATAAATAGCAACAGAAGTCTGTAACCAAGAGGTGTGGTTATGACGCGCATCACGTCAATTGCATAACCACGAACACTTTACCACAAATATTTAGATATTTATGATATACATAGTTAGTTATAATCCTATAATCGCAAAGTCACGCCACACACCTACTGACTTGACGTCATTGTTGTTATGCAAAAGTATCATTTTACTAAAACATTTCTGAGAATTGAAAGTAAACAGAATGATAACGTCGTGATAAGTATATGTATCTTATCACTTGATACCTTAGCAACAACTTTCAAAACATGTTACCCAACACTTTTTATTAATAAAACTTGACATATCATACAATATTGTTAAGTTCTGATTAGAAATTTATTATCATACCTATTATATGAAAAGTGATTATCATAATCATTTAATATAATTGTTGATTTACCTGTTCGATTATCTGATGTCAAGTTCATGTGAATATAATCAGTTCCTAAGGGCGTCTAGAAAATAATAAATCTCTAGTCATTGCCAAACAATTTGAAGCCATAGTTTTATCTGCAGTTTACGGGATTCCATGTTTTAATAGAATCATCTGTGCTAAAGCATTTGGTGCAAAAGAAACGTGTTGCTAAGCTGATAGAACATTGTAACTTCTGTTTTATAACATTTTTATGCGCCAATTGAACAAATTTAAATAGTAATACAGTTCCTAATACTTTCTTTCATACAACATAAACTTGAAAAATTTGTCCCAACATAGGTAATCCCAGAATGGTGAAACGCCAGGTAGCCAGTATTCTTTGAAATAAGTCCCATAAATATAAATACCTAAACACGATATATAATTTTCAAATGTTAGTTTGTTTGTTTTTAAATCTAATAGGCAAGTAGGTGATCAGCCTCCAGTGCCTCACATACGCCGTCGACTTTTGGGTTTAAGACATGTCGGTTTCCTCACGATGTTTTCCTTCACCGTTCGGGCAAATGTTCAATGCGCACATAGAGAGAAAGTCCATTTGTGCCGAGCCGACGATCGAACCTCCGACCTCAGGTATGAGAGTCGCACGCTGAAGCCACGAGGTCAACACGGCTCAATACCTAAGCTTACGTCTTAGGCCATATGCGTAATATGTGAGTGAGCAATGCGACCAAAAGTATTTGCATTCTATGACCGCAAATAACACTTGCCCTATGCACGTTTAAGCCTCAAAATTGGACGGTGTGTGTAATGAAAAGCTATTAAGAAGTAGAAGAGGCTAAACCGAGAGTTAAAACCCCACATGTTAAATATTAACATCAGACACAAAAAGAAGTCTTCACATAGACAGATCTTTTCGAGCTATATATCTCACACAAATTTCCTTTACAGGGCCTGGTGTGGATGTACCAGCCCCCGACATGGGAACAGGGGAACGTGAGATGTCATGGATCGCTGACACATATGCCAAAACCATTGGCTACAAAGACATCAACGCACACGCATGTGTTACCGGCAAGCCCATCAACCAGGTGCGTAACTCTATTCATTGGGAGTTAAATAATCTTGGATTAGGATTCATATGTTATATGACACGTTTGATACAAACTATTTACTTTTCAACATATAATTGCGACCTGATTCAATTAAGTACAAATCTCTTTTTTTTTAATTTTAAAATATAAGTGGAAACTCTACACAATAAAAAGTAGTTAGCAATTGGTTCATATCTATCAGTGCAATATGCAGTTGTTAATAAAATAATGCGGAAATTATAATATATTATCTTTATTAATAGAAATATAGAAGAAATATTTTAGCATGGTAACCCAACGCTGTGTAACGTTTTGAGAATTGAGAATTGTACAAAAGCTATTACCGCTGTCATTAACTTGCATAATCTTTAGTTCAATGGTCAAATTAGTAACTATGATTTTAGCATAACTTATTGCTAAAATAATGTACAAACGCAAGTGCGATTTCACACTGTAATTTGTCCATTAAATTCCAAGAGGCATGAAATCTAATCAACTTTTTATAACCGTATAGGAATTTGTAATTTTAAATCAATCCCTCAAACTGTTTTGTTACAAACTTATGTTCGTTATTAATTTATAACCAAATTACAATCATGAATTTTAACGAAGCATATCTAGAAAGGTGAGGTGAGTGCGATAAGCCCTTCAATTTTTATCAATTTAGATATTTATAGTGATTGCATCAGGATTTAAAAAGATTTGCAAGGCACGTTTTGATAACACATGATCAATCGTTTCCGTTCATCTTCTAATTTGAGAGTGTCCGTGGTCTGTACGATATTAACCACGCAAACCTGGTTATGAGCAGACATAGAATAACGAAGCATTACAATGGTCCTGCAAAACACAAACAATAGAAATGTGTTTAAAGCAATAAACAAATCTTTGTGGTTCGCGAGCTTATTAAAAGAAATTTCTTCAACGATATCCGTTGAAGAAATTCATTTTAAATCTACAATATTATTAACATTACTCAACGTTTGAAGTCTTTTCAGCAATCATAATCGTGTTTATGTCCGTTAAACTATATAGTTTGTGGTTTTGCATATATATGTAAATATAATCAGGGCTCTGTATTTGGAACTAAACGGATGCTCGTTATCGGATAGACTATGGACTGGATACAAACAATTTGACGAATCTATCGATATGTTTATGCTAAACTAAGCTTTTTATTAACTAAATAATTATTTACGATATCCTTCAATTTAATTTTCGGCGGAACTATTCTATCAAACTGAAATTTACATTGCCTAATAGGACTAAAGCCGAATCTTGTATGCCCTAATCCTAAATATGGCCTTTTAATATGTCTCATTTTTCATATATAGGTAGTCTCCTATATGTTGTGAATATAATTATTGAAGTTATAATATTATGATTACAGAAGTTGTTTCAATATTTCTGTAGCGCCGACATTTTGCTATAAAAATAGCAAAGCGCAGTTATCTTATCGTTGAGAACGCTAATCTTAATTTGATATTGACCTCTATTGAATCGGACGTATTTAATATACAGATAAGTAAAACTATTGTATATTATCTTGAATCATTTCGAAGGCGTGGTTTTGGTTTTAAAAAGTTTTATATTAAGATTAAACAATAATTGGTGACTCAAATACTAACAAAACCATTTTTGTTTCTGTCTGACGATAAAAAAAATACTAAGCTCCCTATGCTTCATAGGGAAGTTCCTTTATCGCTCGACGTTATATTATTGTCTGAAAGGTACAAACAATTCGATATCTACTTGCTAAGCTAAATCATCAATGAGGTGACAAGGTATACCATGTCCCTATTAGCTTTGTCGATAAACTTTACTCTCACTTTTTATGATAGTTTTTAGGTTTGGTTTAAAATGTGTTTGACCCAACGAAAATCGTTAAAGACCTGGTAGTATATTGTGAACCTGCATTTCCAGGGTGGTATCCACGGAAGAGTATCTGCTACCGGCAGGGGAGTGTTCCACGGGCTCGAGAACTTCATCAACGAAGCTAACTACATGAGCATGATTGGTATGTTGTTTATAGATATTTGATTATTCACATATGTTGCAACACTCACACTACTGTTTATTTCTACTGTTGACCAATCACGGATTACTTCCTTTTTTAGTTTGCGAATTTTGAGACCAAAACTTCATGCAAAAGTAAATCTTCAGGGAAGTTAAAAAAAAATAGAATTATTAGAACGACCAGTCCTATTTTCGTCGAGTTACACTGAAATAGATAAGTTTCCGAATTTTGCCCCCCGTTCTATTTAAAAAATATTTATATCGGATATATAATTGATGATAATAAGATTTTAGGAATACTAATCGATTAGTTAAGTGAAACAACAGTTAAAGTACTAAACATTTTGGGCATTGGGCTTCTATGAAGCAGTAGATATGCTGGCAAATAAATCAATAATTCCTGGAATGCACAAATATATTCAAAATGTTAAGTAATTAAGTTGTGTACTGTAATCACTGATAATTATTTAAATGTTATCAGGATACAACGTAAGTGTTATAATTAGCATTTACGTGGTGAGTGACATAAAGATCTTTAGAAATTAAAATATTTCACCATAGGAAAAAAATAATTGCGCAATTAAATAAGAATGAATGGATTACATACGATGAGATTTTGATCAGGGTTTATTGTTTTTATTGTTAACGTTCGAATTCTATTCATGGGTTATAGTATGAACGATGCAGTTATTACGCCTAATATTGAATTACTTGTCAAGGACGTTACGGACGGACGTTGTGATTGGTCAACTCCAGAGCAATAGTTCAATCTGTAGTATTTCTTATTCTGTGGCTATTTTGACTAACGCTTATATCTGATTTCTAGAGTTTATTGCCAGTTCTTCTCTTCCGTTTTACCCCCTTGATGTGAGAACTGGCAGTAAATGTAAAATTAGAAGCATTTCATATATATATATTTTTTTTTCACGTTCATAAGTGTACATTGCGTTACCTGTTTGAATAAATGATTTTGACTATAAAAAGCCTTTAAAGAAAAGAAGATGAAAAATGTGATGCATAGAAGCAAAAACGGTTATAGCAATACTTATTTCTTTCAGGAACGACCCCAGGTTGGGGCGGTAAGACATTCATTGTACAAGGTTTCGGTAACGTGGGTCTTCACACTTGCCGATACCTCGTCCGTGCCGGGGCTACTTGCATTGGTATCATAGAACATGATGGAGCCATCCACAACCCAGATGGTATTGACCCCAAGGTAAGACCTTCCGTAAAATTAATTAGAATACCGTAGAAATTTTCTTTTTATTCCCACTTGATTGTTTGATTCCCGGCGAAACAATAGTTGTGTATTGTTAGCAATAAATTAGACGAAATCATTATCGTTGTATGGGAAGATATTTAAAACTTGAATTTAATTTCAAAGTAAGTACACTTTGAGATTAAATTCAAGTTTTATAAACTGGAAAATGCGAACTTTTAAATAACCAATATCATGGTTATCATCAGAATATTTTTAAATAAAGACTTTTAAAATGCCTTTTTAATAAGCCTAATTGAAATGATTTGACTTGATCAGACAACTTTCGTATAGTTAACCTATGTTTAAATAACAACGTATGTTAACATTGCATGTACATGACGTGTTGATTAACCTCAATTATGTCTACCGGTTAATTTAGTATTAATCACACACTAATTTAGACCAGGATAAATTTGACCGTAAACATTTACTATTTGGTCAGCACGGCTTTTAATACTCAAAATGAAATATATTTTTCCTGCCAGGTTTTTTTTTGTCATATGTAACAGTAAATTTTTTCTTTTCCTTACTGAACTGAAAACTACAAAAATCAATTTTTATGGGTGCCCATACATTTTTATAGCCAATCTTTCTAACTTTCTGCCAGCTTTTCTTTTATTATATAGTCCTTTTTTTATCTGAGCTGAAAATGCGTTGGTGAATCTATTCCGTTGTTTAAAAAATTATAAAATAGTGTCTTCTATATCTGTTAAGAACTCAGTAGTGAAAGCAGCGTGTCTCCCATTCACCACGCAAATTAATCTTATTGAAGCTGATATCGAATTGATAACAAAATAATAAGGATCGGAACTGATAAGCGAAACATACGATTACTGAAGTACCTACTTGATTATTTATCAATATAAGACTAATTTAATTTGTTCAAGTAAATGTTTTAGAAATAAATACACTGTAAACTCTTTATAACGAATTTCAAGGGACCGAGCATTTTTATTCGTTATAGAGGGGTTACGTTATAGGCAGCGAAGAATTAATGTATGGGTATTGGGTTAAACCAAATAATTTAACGTTATAAATACTATTTCGTTATAACGAATGGCGTTATAAAGTTTTTACACTGTAGAGCCTGCATTAATGGTTCAATTGTTTTTAATTTTTTTTTTCTTATAAATATACGAAAATACAAATATCATCTATAATATATAGAACAAGCTGAAACCCTTACATCCCTTTCACGATACCCTATCAAACGCTTAATGAAATTAACACTCCAAAGCGGTAGATTAGTTTATTATCACAAAAAGATTAGACATACAGTAGACAGCCTTGTGCTGCATGTACATATCACGTAACGTGAACAATGTACCGGGCGCTTGTATCAAATATTTGCTGTAATAATGTTGTTACAGCATTACGAACCTTGTTATTTCATCATCTACATTACTTATTCTTTATATGCATGTGACGGGGGAACTACATGCCTTTATAGAAAACTAGTGGACCCCACAGACGTTGTCCTGCATGATATTTAAAGCGATTAGGATATTAAGCAAAGTATGAAAGTACCGACTGCAGTGCCATCTGCCGGGCTGATTTGTGAATCTAAACCATTCCCAGATCCCCTTGAACACACACAAAAAATTTCATCAAAATCGGTCCAGTCGTTTGAGAGAAGTTCAGTGACATACACACTCACAGAAGAATTATATATATAAAGATTATCTGCGAACCAGACTGAAATATGTGCTTGGTCAAGTCATACTACATAATAGAGAGAGCTTCTTGGGCTTCTTTGTAAATTTTCCTGTACAGAGCATTGTTTGTAGAAATTAGAAGTAGGATTGGGGTATACTTTCCCACTTTTGATCAACCCGAGAGCAACGTTTGCGCACGATTACTTTTTAAATAAAACACAACTAGGTATTTGATGCTTATAGACTCAAAGTCAAGTTTGTTTCAAATCAATTATGATTAACTGGGAATCGAATTTTGATACTCGTATAATGTAATAACAAAGCTAGATAGCCCGTTGATTACACGTTTACACGTTGCTACATATTATTTAAATATCCTTCCATCTATATTAGAGACTCATTTGAAATATAAATTATTATGAACATATTTAGAAATAATAATTATATTGAAAAACAATACTCTAAAATATGTAATCATTTATTTGTTTTGACTTCAGTTAAAATGATTTTATAGGTCATGTTATTTAAACAATTATCTCATACGAATATATATTACAATGATTGTGAATCATAAGCACGAAATTATATAACAGATCATGTGTTTTATTAAAATGACCTTCGGAAATACGTTTGTCTAGAAAATAGTTTATTGTATTTGTTATTTATAGTAAGGACTTAGCAATTATCGTACACTATTCACTTTAGTTTAGAATATACGCTATTAATTAGACATTTTTGCTACATTTTATAGCGGCGTAGGCAATAGAAAACCTAAAATGTATAATGCAACGTAGCCGCTCAGTCAAGCAAGGAAATATTTATTTGGTTTTTTTTTATTGACATTCACTTCACCCGCGATTTAAACCTAATGGTTTGCAGACTGACCTAAGCGCTAGACAGACCGTTATTTTTAACTACGATTTAAATTTTGATCGCGTTTTTTGCCTGAAAATAATCGCAACAAATATTTAGTCTGACTAGTAAGAACTTTCCAATTAAGAGAAGTTCAACATTAAAGGAATGCTCAGTAATAAAATTGCAAGTGTGTGTATTTTTCGTATTTCTTTATTCCAGGCTCTTGAAGACTACAGGATCGAGAACGGAACAATTGTGGGATTCCCTGGTGCCAAACCATACGAAGGCGAGAACATGTTGTATGAGAAATGTGATATCCTCGTTCCAGCTGCTGTTGAGCAGGTCATCCACAAGGAAAACGCCCACAAGATCCAGGCTAAGGTTGGTTTTTAGTATTAACGGAATTCTTCCCTTTATAAGTTTCCAATAGCTTGTTGGCTCTCACAGCTTATATATGCCCCTATTTTAAAAAATCTAATAGCAATACAATTCAATACAGCATTTACAGTATACTGCATATAACGGTTAAGACATTATTGATTCATTTTGACTTTGTGGAACCTTAAAATTAAATTAAAATATTTTAAATGAAAATGGCATTCAAATGACATTTCCTTGACACGTTTTGACTGTCTGTTTATTCTTAGATAATCGCTGAAGCCGCCAACGGACCGACCACCCCAGCGGCAGACAAGATCTTGATCGACCGCAACATTTTGGTGATCCCCGACCTCTACATCAACGCCGGTGGTGTGACGGTCTCATTCTTCGAGTGGCTGAAGAACCTCAACCACGTCTCATACGGACGTCTCACATTCAAATACGAGAGGGAATCCAACCACCATCTCTTAGGTATGCTGTTTTAATAAAAAACCTTTTGGGCCCCAGAGCTGTCCATGTTTCGTTATCATTTGATTTTTCTAATAAGCAAGTAGGTGATCAAATTGCTGGGCCTGACACACTGTCGACTTTTTGGGACAAAGGCCAGATTTCTCACGATATTTTTCTTCACTGTACAAGTGAGCGTTAAATGCGCATATAGACAGAAATGTTTGATGTACAGCCGGGGATCGAACCTATGACCTCATAGATGTGAGTCGTACCATGAATCCATTACACGTTAAAATAGAAATTATTACTAAATACATAAATTTTTATTACTAAATAAATTGGTTAATTAGTTATTGTCTTGTGCGCACGGCAATATTTTAAATAAGTTTATGGTTTCTTATAGGCGACATGTTTTTAAAGAATAAGTTGTTTAAACCTCAGTTACATAGCTATGTCCCACGGTTTCAACCGTATTAGTTAGATCGAAGGATTCCTCGATCTACACGAAAATAATTTCTAAATCGTAAAAAAAAAAATTAAATTGTAATATGCAATTTTCATATGAACTATAAGGTAAGGTCACAAAATAATAACATATTTATATTTTTACAGAATCCGTACAAGAGTCGCTTGAACGTCGTTTCGGTCGCGTCGGAGGTCGTATCCCGGTAACTCCCTCAGAATCCTTCCAGAAGAGGATCTCTGGTGCATCTGAAAAGGACATTGTACACTCGGGACTCGACTACACCATGGAGAGATCTGCCAGGGTGAGTATTAAAAACAATGTTTTAATTTGCTGTTATGGAAAAAATCGGCCCGTAACTTTACAGAATTATTATTATCGGAATAAAATACATATTCGCAATAAAAGCATTTTTCAACAACCAAGAATTATTTTAGAAAATGTTTTTTTTATTTATGTACATATTTTTCTTTACCTGGCAATTGAATTAGGAAACCAGGATCTACGGTGAACTGTAATCTTTACTGGCACACTTTAATTGCCTAAAGTCTCATTTTATTCCTATTGATGTTGAAATAAAAAAAAATCATTCATTGTCATAAAAATTCTTATTGAATTAAAGATATTATATATTATGTATTTTATAACTTTAAAAACTATATTTTTAACTTAAGCGCCAAGACTTTATAAGTGTAAAAAACATCTGTGTAAGAATTTTTTAAATATTGTTAATTTTTTTTAATGTGTATAATAATAGCTATGGACAGGGATATTTGGAAGGGCAGAAGGAGACATTACCCGTTAAGGGGTTCCCATCAATGGTACTAAAGGAAGCTACGATATTGAGATATATAGTTTTTTTGTTATCCTAATATTCATATAACAAATCTAAGCTGTATATTATTCTACTTTTGTAATGATTAGAAATTAAACATGCTTTTATTATTTGTTAATATTTTTTTTTAATCCAGGCCATCATGAAGACAGCCATGAAGTTCAACCTAGGACTGGACCTGAGAACAGCAGCGTACGCCAACTCCATAGAAAAGATTGTCACAACGTACGCAGACGCCGGTCTCGCGTTCTAATACGAATTTATTTATTTGCATTTCAAGACAATTAGCCTCTGCACCTATTCACAGTATTTTATTTTGAATCGCTTATACCTTGTTAAACTTTTAAGCGTAAATGTGACTTTTCCATTTGTAACGTCTTGGTTTTTGAAATAAATTGTTTTATCGTTGTATGTTGTTTTCCTTAGGTTATCTCTTACAAGTGCTTTTGCGGTATCATACATTGATCACTGTTTTCGAATTTTCGCCTCAAAAGACATCATTTAATTAAGTTGCCAATCTGCGACTTAAGTAGCCGTGTGTACCTTCAGACTAAGAAACTTGACGCTCCTTGTCCCTGCTAACTTACCACTTAACTATTTATTTCAATATAGCTTTCCTACTATGTACAAGTTTATGGTAAAAGCGCTAGATATATTTAAAGATCGACTTCTAAATTAGGATCGATAGAAATAATTATTATTGAAATCGGCATCACCACAGCTCCTCGGTATGTTTTAGAGATTATTCGTATCGATTAATAACATAATGTCCCCAAATATGAAGAAGTCTTAAGACTAGTTCGACTATCTTAACATCTATTCTAAATTCATAGACATTCAAGCTCTTTGTTTTAAGAACATCGGGCTATCGAGGTCTAAACTTTGTTAAATAACTATGTATAACTTAATAAATCAATAAATAATAATAAATCGGTAGAAACATCAGTTTTAATATTATATTAATTCAAATTCACTAAAAAGCTTTGTTTCTACAATAATTTTGGCCCACATTGTCATTACAGAGTCAAGAGCGGATTTCTAATATGCATCAGTCATTTTTGGGAATGAGATGGAAAGACTGAGTCGAATAGCTGTTTTACAGATTCTGTACATATATAATAATATATCCTCTTCCTAACGATGTATTTCCATTTTAGCCGTAGATTACATTTTCTTTTAAATACAGGCCTTAGTCTTTGTCAAATTGTAAACATTTAATTTTTTTTTTAATTATAATATTCTTTATAAGTTATCTCAGAAATTTTAACTGAATTTAAAAAAAAAACAGTCAAAGTTAATGCGATCGCAGCCAAACAACGTCACGTTTCCGATATGTGTGATGTGTTGATTAATAAACGTCAATGTCATCGTCAAAAATGGTAAAGAAAGAACCGCTAGAGTTATACTAATTCCTGATTATAATCGTAGGGCTATAATCATTATTTTGTATTTTCATGTGCCGTAGAAGTTTTATACTATTAAAGAGAAAATGTTTGCTACGCCTTTGATATATGTCCTTTTACTACTACTAACTGATAGTGTATTTTCAAAGAGTGTTGAACTTACTTTCGAATTACCAGATAGCGCTGAAGAATGTTTTTACCAAGACATAGAAAAGGATATCTCAGCTTCCTTGGAATACCAGGTAATTATTTGGAAATCTGTTAACCATTTCTCTTGTAGTATGCCTTACTTCAATGCCTATTGTAATTGTTTAATATTCTTAATGTGGCGTTAAATCATATTCACAAACATCACGATAACCGATTGTATTATACTGTTTTTATCTTTCAAGGTTATAACTGGTGGCCAATATGATGTTGATGTCAAAATAGAAGGTCCTAATAAGCAAATAATTTATCAACAACAAAAGATGCAATATGATTCTCACCAATTTACAGCCCAATATACAGGTAGGTTACAGTTGTTAGTACAGCAAAACTGTACAAAATTAATGTGATTATGTGATCTAATACAAAAAAAGAAATTTATTAACAGTAAAATCTGAAATGAGCAGCTTTTACAAACTTAAGGATAAAGGTTGAGGAATTATTGGTGATTTCTGATAGCAATGTTGGTGGCCTATAAGTCAATTAAAAAAATAATTATGTTGTTAATTTTAATTCTCTTCTATTAAATACTGAATTTGAAATGTTTTCAGGTGTATATAAGGTGTGTTTCAGTAATGAGTTTAGTACATTTTCCCATAAACTTGTATATATGGAACTTAATGTTGGCCCTGAATTGCCTCTGCCAGGAGTTGGTGACCATGCTACTGTCCTTACACAGGTATTAAAGTTGATGGCCTTGACTTAACTTTCATATTGTATAAATAAGAAATCCAACAACTGATACTAATTACAACATAATATATACTTAATTGAATGATCAATTAGTCCTTCCACTTCAATGCATAAAATATATTTATTTATTCATTAGATATTTAGTTATGGATTTTTAAATATGATACATTTTTAAAATCTGAACTAATATAATTGTGTCACTCTTTTAGCTTGAGACATCAGCAGAAGAAATCCATTCAGCTCTAAATAGAATTATTGATCATCAAACCCACCATCGATTAAGGGAAGCTCAGGGTCGTAAAAGAGCAGAGGACTTAAATGAAAGGGTATTTTGGTGGTCCATTGGAGAAACACTTGCAATTTTCTGTGTAACATTTGCACAAGTTATGATCTTGAAAAACTTCTTTAGTGATCGACCATCACTATATAAATAATTATTAGTTTAATAGGATATTTAATATATTTCATGTGGTAATTATGTGTACAATAGTTTTATTTTTAAAACCAATGAACTTGATTTAAATAATTTTATGTTATTGTAATATGTCACAAACATACTGCAATGTTATTCATGTTTTGTTATAGAAAGAGCAATTTAAATTGTTTTCATTAAAATTTTAAAACTATGGTTGTTGTGCATTGTTTTGAAAAATCCTTTAACTTTTAGCTAATATAATTGTATACTTTGTGTACTAACTGTAACTGAAAACAAACAACATTTATATATTATGTTTATTATTTCAATTAATAAAATACATTTGTATAAAAACTTTTGAATAATCTTAATTGCCTTAACATCAAGTTTATTTTTAATACATGCTCAATAATTTTATTATTTTTCTTATAGTGTAATAAATGAAAAGATTTTCATTACATGTACAAAATTGATCTTGATGTCCTCCTAACAAATCAAAATGTTTAAAACAAAACTAGTAAAGCAAACACTCCATTTACTAATGCACAAGGATATGCAATTAGAGGTCTTTGTTCTGAATCTCCTGACATAGTAACAAACAATCTGCTTGCTGATAATGCTGACCATATAACAGCTATCGCTGATAATGATAAACCTATTCCTCCCTCTAGGGAAATGAAAATTCCTAGCCCTGCCAAAGCAACCATTGGTAACATACAGTATCCTAGAACACTGGCAACGCATAAAATAGTAAACACTCCTTCAGAGCGACTCATAAGGGACAACAAAAAGTACATTAATATTACAGACATCATTGACAATCCATATACATAACCAAAATGTGCCTTATTACCAGCAAGGAATAGACAGACTGCCAGCGCTAAGCAGAATGCAATTGGTCCCGCTATATCTGTATCTCGCAACAGAAAGTTTGCATCATCTGCCTTAGATTGTCCATGAAATGGATTTAGAACAGCCAGTGTTTTTTCAAGGATTCTGTCTGGATATATTTCCAACTCATCAAGCAGTGGTGGCTCATCAAATTCTGAAGTTGCTGTAACAGCTTCTCCTGGTATTGGGGCAGGCGAAAATAAGCTTGGGTTGTAATATTGATTATTATTAGGTGGATTATTCTGGCCCTGATCATAAGAAAAGTTTTGATGTTCTGGAGCAAATGTCTGAAAATCTACAAAAAATATGTTATAATTTTCTCAATTAATGATATTAATTAACACAAATCATTTATTTTTATAATGAAGGATGTTTTACCTAGATTCTGAGATGCATCACCAAAAGAATTTGAATTATTGAAAGAATAATTTTGACTATTTTCAGGAGGTTGCCAAGAATAGTCGTTTGTATTTTGAAAGCCAGACATTGTGATTTCCTTGGAATATGTACAAGCGTGAATTCTATGTTACGTTTACAAATAAAATATTAAATGAATGATTAATATGGGATCTTCGATTGCATTTTTTGCAATATTTTGAATTTTCTCTCAAATCTCAATATCGAACGATAGTCATCGTCATTCGTCAAGATTCAAGCGTCTACGTCATCTACAATGGCAATTGACATGAAACATCTCGTCAAAGTTACTAAGTTGGTTGTCACTGTACCAATATTTCCGATAAAGATAAAAAACGTTGGCTAAGCTGTAACATCGTATACAACCTAATATATTTTACGAATATCTTTTAAAATATTGTTACTCGTTTCTAAGAGAAGCGTTGATAAAATAATTTTCAACATTCACCAGTCTAAATAAAACATGATTATAATCATAAATAATTATTATTAAGATTTATATTCATTCATATCGACAGCAGTGTTGGCCTATAGTCGTATTTTTAATTAGACGAAGCCAACTGACAGTAGCTAATGTCACTTTGTAAAATAATGTTGCCATATTTAAAGTAATAGTGATGCGTTCAGTTCTTGTTCAATCAGATGAATGAACAATGAGTGTGAATAGTCAATCATTTCAAACAATAAAAGAATATTACTTCTATCTCAAAATTGTATAAAAGTGCTCTGATATAAGTTAGGTACTAGTACTATGTAACTACAATCAGTTTTTTGACGTCTTATTACAAAGCGCGGCGCGGCGACTAGTGCCCTGTCAGGGGTTTTTACTTTGTCACAACACTATTTTTATTTCATTTAAAACTGACAACACCGTAAACGTCAGTTGATATCGTCTTACGTCTAATTAAAAATTCGACTATAGGTGGCTTCAGCGTGCGACTCTCATCCTTGAGGTCGACCCCGGCTTGCATCAATGGACTTTCTACATGCGTATCTTAGACTCGTTCGTACGGTGAAGGAAAACATCCAAAACTCGACATGTGCCGGACAGATGGCTGTTCACCTACTAGTCTATGAAATATAAATCATCAAAGAAACTTATGCAATGTGAACTGTGAAGGCAAGACCGATAGAGGGTTGTAGCGCCACTGGCAGGGCCGAATTTAGCGGTCTGGATAGCCCCCAAGTATTTTCCAAATAAAATGAACATATTTTTAAATTAACTTAATCTAACTCTTATACGTGAGGCTAACACTTTTCATTGGAAATATCTCTAAGAGAATATTTTAGCTTGACTCTTTAACAGTGTGTTCAATACAGATGCCCATATTTTTTTACAGATACATAATCGTTACTTTTTTATTTTGTTTTATTAATGGGCGAATATTTTACTTAAAAATGAAAAAAATATACGTGCTGTTGACAAACATTTTGTTTGTTTAGATGGTTGATGTAATAACACGAAATGTTTTGGTAGGAAGATAACATAATTTAAAAAAAAAAAAACATTTTTTGGCTAGTGATCATACGAGATGGGAGAGATGAATTTTAGCTCTTTCGATGTGACTGCCTTTTAATAACACTTTTAAAGAAAAACTTTTAAAAAAAATCATCTTCGGAAGGGGGGCTCCATTGTGTGTACCATTTGAGGTGTCAGGTACGCTTTTCCTCTTCCCCCTTCAAATACCCCTAATCTCGTTTCTATTGGAGAGTTGAGCCTGTTGCTGTTATTATAATCGATAGGGCCGTATTAAGAATTGCGCATTCATCCAAACAGTGCTTAACAAATTCCCTGAAAAAAACTCATAGATTAAACAAAATAACATCCGGTTATCATTTAAAAATTTAAGTGTGCTTGATATAATGGTATTATTTGAAGCCAAGCTCTACAAATTTAACTAGACTTATTACTTCTGCCAAAATCAAAATATATAAAAAACAAATTGCGCTGACGCTCAAAGGCGGTTAAAATTTCTGGGTTTTCAGTAAAACAAAAAATGTTTGGTTCAAGTTTTTCATAAAACAGAAAAATAATGTTAATAAACACTTACTTATAATAATTATATTCAGCCTCATTAAAGTTAAGATCATTTAAATAAATATCTTTTTTTTCTTTCGTATATCCTAGAACAATTTATTATATATATTAGTTTATTATTCATAATAATAATATCTTATTAAGAGATTATCCTTGGACACGGATCAAACTGTTGAGTCGTGCGTTTGAATTTCAGATTTGCAGAAGATTAGTAGTGTGTAGTGTAGAAGTATAGAAGGATACACGAAAGCAATAAGTCTAAAATAGAAAATTGTGTCAGAGAAAGCTGATCACTGTAAAGTATTTTGATACTAAAGAAAGAAGACAATTCTTTGAATACATATTTTATTATTTGTTTATTTATTTATAAGTATTTTTGAAGTTATACTTCTTTAGGCGCGTTATGAAAAATTGATGAGAGTGAAATTTTACGATGCGCGCGCACCGTGACACAAAATTATCAGTATGAAGTTGCCCACTAACGAATTCTTTTTAAAACCAGCCGGGCGCCGAGCGTGCGCGAGCGAGGTGGGACTAAGGCAACCAACAAGTAAAAAGAAATAGAATATGCGAGAAGTTAGCAGCTATGCCAAAAATTTTGAATGACCTTTGCTACCTTTTAAACAAATAAAGGAGTTTTAATTATTTTTTCAAAGAAATTAAGCAATTCTTTTTCACAAAGACCTATTGTTACTTAGTTAAAAGGTTATGAAACATACCTAGTTATTAAATTGAATGAATAATATATTAAAATAATAAATAATAATAATAATTATTATTAATTATTAAATATTAAAAAAAATTAAAGAAAGCCAAAGAAGTATAACTTCTTACGCGCGTACATAAGTACACGCACACTTTTTTTTTTATTTATGCGTATAAAACACTTTAAATTTGCCAATCTGCTATTTGCTGTATGAATTATTATTTTAAATTAAAAATCATTTTAATAATAATACGCGTGTGGTAACGTAAAATCAACAACTTATAAGAAACGTAAGCATACCTACCCTGTTAATTGAAGACGGAAAACACGTATAAGTTCTGCCAATTTTTTGGCTTGACAATTTACATCCTTTTTATCGAGTTTTTCTGGATTTAACAGCCTTTGTCTTGTATCTTGGCTATAAAAACGATAAATATAACTTAATAGTTATTGTCCGTTCCAATTGTTAAAAGCTATGTAAAATACATCTGTCTATTTATACGTTCTGTTATATATATGTCGCTGAATATTATATAACAAAGATACCTTTGGTATATGGATATGGATTAACATGGAAAAGACAGACAATGACGCTCCATAAAAAAAATCAAGATAATCAAATGGATTATAAGAACTCAAATAGATAAATTTACAAAAGATGTATTTTCTAATACATTAATACATCCAAGGGAATGAAAAAGGAAGTGGATAAGATGGGCAGATGATCTGCCGAAGAGTAGGAGCAGGCTAGCCCGGTATAGAAAATGGGTAAAACTATGTCAGTAGACAACCTGACCATAAAACTGGTTGGTAAAGAAAAACAAATACAATTGGTTTTTAAATTATTCACATACTATTAATATTTACTTTTAAATAGTCTTTATTTATTTATATGCTACAAACTAAGGGCAAAAATTCAATAGATACTTATCAATAATGAGTAAACTTACCAAAATTTAAAAACGTAGCGTAATTTAGCCTTAGTTTGTTCTATGAAATCCATATGAGTGTAAGTTTTCTTTTCTGGCACTTCAGCACCATCTAAAATAAAATCTAGATTACCTAGATCATCAGATCCATTTGGATTCAATTTATCTTCAATATTAGAGATTCTTGTAAAGTTTCTTATAATTTTCGGTGGATCATCTGTTTTAGTATTAACACAATCTGTCTTATCTGTATTTTCTGGTTCATTAGTTTCATCCTTGTCGGCATTTTTAAGTTCAAAATTTGACAAAAAGTTTTCTTTTCCCGGCAAAAACTGAAGAAGTTTATCTTTAGAGTGATGGGCTCGTTCCTGGACCTAAAATATTGTTGAAAATGTACTTATATAAGTTTAACAAATATATAACATGAGTAGCTTGGGCCAATCATTAAAATTTTGACTGTCTATGTTTGATGTCATTTGTTTCAAAAGTTTAATATCTCATAAAAATAAAAAAAAATAGAAAAGTTTTTGCATAAATAATGCTACTTAATACTTACTGATGTCATAATATTTCTAGCCTTTGAACGGGTGATTCTGGATGGTGTCGGATGATTTTGGGATGTTTTTTGTGGCGAAGCTGAAAAACAAACTAAACCGAATTTATTACGTATCGACGACGTATGTTTAAAACGCCGAATTATGTAAATCTACACTAACTAATATTAAAAAGAGAAAAGATTTGTAGTTGTAACAAATAAATGCTATTTACTGATAGTTTATGTTTAAATATGTAATGTACCGCGCAGAATAAATTTAATAAAAAGCCTTGTTTTTATTACAAAAAATCCTTATATTTTTAAACTAAAAATGTCACTTTTAAAAATATACCTTCATCGCTATGCTCATTTATTGCATCGATTTCATTGAAAGAGTTATCGAAATCCGGCGTCTCAATATCGAGTAGTAACTTGGCTAATAATTTCTCAGCTGCCTGTAGGTTTTCGTCATCTTCGAAAACGCCCTAAAATATAATTGCGTTATATATTACGTTTAAACAATGTAAAGTGATAACTCAATGGCGCGTCAATCAATCTTTTGTGTTTCATATCTTCTTTGCCGATGAGTAGGGATGCCTACAAATTCAAATTTAATGACGTGGAATAAGTGATACATGTATCTTATGGTCCATAATAAACATATTTTTTTTTGTTTTTAAATCTATGACATGCCGGTATCCTTACCATGTAAAAAAAAAACAAAAAAAAAAACAAACGTTACTCTCGGGACGCACGACCATTGATTGAGAGAGAATAAACGCCAAAATGCTTATTTTCGTAAAAAAAAAATATATTTTCAGTAGAAATTTTAGGCTAATTTCAAGATAATGAAGATTAAGTA